TTTTTTTTTTTTTTTTTTTTTTTTTTTTTTTTTTTTTTTGTTATAGGGAATGCAAGATATTGCAAATGATAAACATAATGAAAGTTTTGATGATTCTATAAAAGCTGAATCATTAAAGTAAGAATTTATTAAAAATTCTCAGATAAATTTGTGATATGTAAATAATAAAATACATTTTTAAGGTAATGTTAAGAAAACTAATTATTATAATAACATAATTACATTTTTCCTAAAAAAATTTGTATGTGTAATGTGGCATGCATCTCTGTTTTATTAATGTACATCTATATAATTAAAATATTTCCATGTATGTACACGTCAGTCAAATAAGTATAAGTTATTCCTATGTGTTTTTAGTTTTATGAATTAAAAAAAAAATTAATATTCAAGAAAAATGTCTATTTTATTAATGTCAATAAAAATAATTTTTCAATATTGATTTCAAAACTGGTTAATCTTAAATAATAAAAATGACTAATTATTAAATATTAAATATTAAATGTTTAATAATTTTATTTAAATTATCCATGAAAATATTGTAGACCAAAGAGATGGGATGAAGCTTTAGAAAAACCAGCTGTCGACTATGGAGAATTATTTGAAGAAGGCACTGGAAGACTTCCAGGTCTAAGTGTTTGGGAAATTGAAAACTTTTTACCGAATATGGTTGATGAAGTTGCACATGGAAAATTATATAGAGGAGATTGTTATATTGTTTTACATTCATTTATTAATGAAAATTCAGATAATTTAAACTGGAAAATTTACTTTTGGATTGGTGACAATGCTTCAGTTTAGTATATTTTCAAATATATATTTTTATGTAAAAAAAAAAAAACAATTCTATGGGGCTGAATGAATGGGAAATTGATAGTCTAATATAATGTCCAGACCTAATTTCTTTAATTAGATCTCCTGATCTAATTAAAGAAATTTTACGATATCACAATAAAAACATATTATTTGTACACATTTGATAATGTTATTGTACTACCTATTAAAACAATAAATACTGTGCTAAAAAAAAAATTGCTTTTGTCCTAAACTGACGTCTTAAAAATTAATTATAGTGCTGTTCTTTTTTACATATTATATATATATTTTACATATTATATTTTACTATATAATACTTCCTGGATTATGCACAATTTTAATCTTCAATATTAACTGATTTAAAAAAATTCAATTTTAGCTTGACAAAAGAGCATGTGCAGCAATACATGCTGTAAATTTACGTAATTTCTTGGGTGCTGAATGTAGAACTATTCGTGAAGAACTTGGTGAAGAGTCAGATGAATTTTTGTCATTATTTGATTCTTCTCTAGTTTACATTGATGGTGGACGTACAGCTAGTGGGTTTTATACCGTTGAAGATGTTGTAAGTTTTTTTTCCAAATTTTTTTCCCAAATAAATCAATAATTTAAAGAATGATTTTTTTAAGACTTACACTACTCGCATGTTTCGAGTTCATGCAAATGGAATGTCTGTTCATCTGGAGCCTGTTAAATTGCATTTCACTTCGCTTGATGTAAAATTTGTTTTTGTATTAGACTGTGGTCTTACTATTTTTTTATGGCAAGGTCCTAAAGCAAAAAACACTTTAAAATCTAAGGCTAGGTAATATATATATATATATATTTTTTTTTACATCTATAATCTTTATTTTTATTTTATCTTAAAATATCTTGTAAGCAATTGTTTTTAATTGGACTGATAAAAAATCAAATAATTATCAGATAATTAACATCAAAAAGAGATGTTTTTCTTTATAATATGAAAATCATTAATATTTATTTAGACAAAAGTATGTTACTTTTTATTAATAGTTAATGCTTGATGTGCAAACTACTATATTAACTAAAGCAGTTAGCCTACAGAAAAATGTCTCAAGAGGAGCAAATATAATTGACAATAATTTAAGCTATAGAATCAATTCTATATACCACATGGGCTAAAGAGGCACAAGAGCTAAAAATATTTTATCAAAAATGTTACTATAGAAAAAATAGGTCATCAAAAAAAAATTATATTTTATAATTTTCATTATGAATTAAAATAATTGTTCAACCCTCACTCTAAAAATACATTTGTATATGTGCCTACTATTACACCACGATAAACCTTTTACATAAAACCTTCCTTATTAGAAAATGAATAACTTAATGATGTTCGAATGTGAAAAAGGGAACAAGTCGATTTTACCTCATACAGGGTGGGGCGTGGTTACTTCCTTATCTGAAACTCTTGACACTTAGCGGCTATTAATAGTAGAGCTTTGGTTTATGATGCGTTAAAAAGCACGTTATCTAAGGTTTTTGTTATGACTAGTTTAGTGTCAACAATGCAGTGGACAAACCAAGAGCGCGCGTTCGCCGTAGAGGATTACTTTTCTTTCAACCGTTCAATCATCGTAACTCAGCGTGAATTCAGAAAACATTTCAATATCGCGCCTGCGGGTCGTGTGCCTGTTCGGAAATCGATTTGTTTGTGGGTGAAAACGTTTAGGAATACCGGTAGTGTGCAGAAATAACATAATGGACCTTCCAGAACCGTCAGAACGCCAGAAAACATCGAGAGGGTAAGGATGGCGCTTTTGAAATCCCCTAGGCGATCTGCATGCAAACATTCTGCTGCTTTGGGAATTTCTAATCGCACAGTGAGACAAATTCTTCATGAAGAATTCAATTTTCACCCATACAAATTGGTAGTAGTGCAACAACTTAATCCGCGCGATCATGTTGCGTGAAAAAATGCATTATTATTTTAAAATGCACAATTTTCTATGGGGCTACCTAAAATCTTTGGTGTACGCAGAACGCCCTAAGACCCTGCGTCATCTAAATAACAATATTCGTGATGCTATTGCCAACATAGGCGCAGATATGCTGGAAAAAGTGGACAGAAATTTCAAATTTCGGCCATCTCAGTGCATTGACGAGCATGGTAGCCACCTTAGAGATGTCATTTTTAAAACCAATTAAAATTAAACTTTAAATGTACCCCTGTACGCAGAAAAAATAAATTAATCAATATTACCAATACTTTTTGTGTTATATTTATTTAAAATAAGGAAGTAACCACGCCCCACCTTGTATAACACATTATATTGAAATTATAATAGACATTTCAATTATCAATAGCTGAATCAAAAGATGATAATTTTGACTTATCCTCCTTTTCACAGAGAACACCAACTATATTTTATATCAAATATTAATTGCTAATTAAGCATATTTAAATGTGTAATATGATCAACATTTTATTAGGCTATTAGCAGAAAAAATTAATAAAAATGAAAGAAAAAACAATGCTGAAATAATACTTGAAGAATATGGTAAAGAAAGTATTGTATTTCAAGAGCTTTTAGAGATGAATGAAAATTTTGATTGTGAGATAGATATCAAAGTAAGTTCTATTTCAAAATGCTTTTAAAAATTAAAATTCTGTTAATACCGAGTGCCCTACCAAATTTTGACATTATTCATAACTTTTGACCGTACAAATATTTTGCGTTAACTTTTTTTAAAATAATTTTTACAGTTTTGGACTATGTTAAAAGTATTTTTTGTATTATTTGTTTCTCACAAGAAAAAATTTAATTTTTTTTTTCGAAATTTCAAAATAGCCATTTTTTAGCTCTTTTTTTTATAAAATTTTGATGGATTAATAACAACTTTAGGATAAGTACTTATTGAATAACAAATATTTTTATACATGGAGTGAGTGTATAGTGTGGGTGGCTACAATACTTACTGGTGCATATTTATAATACTGACTACATAACTGCTATATGTATTTAAAAAGATGTTAAAACCTTGTGGGTTATCCTGTATATTGTTAATACTTTATTTTAGTTTGTTAATTTTTGTTTAGGCCCATATTCAAGAAGATTTTAAACTTCCTCATTCTCGTTTATACCAAGTAAAATTAGGAATGGGTTATTTAGAGTTACCCCAAGTTGAAGTTTCTCATAATATCTTAGACAACTCATTATTGAACTCAAAAAATGTCTACATTTTGGACTGCTCTGTTGATTTATATGTCTGGTATTAATAATCTTTTTTTATTGCATGATATATTTTCATTCTATTTTAACTATTTCTATTCTATATCCATTTATTATTATAAGGTTTGGTAAAAAATCAACCAGACTAGTGAGGGCTGCTGCTGTTAAATTATCTCAAGAATTATTTTCAATGATCGAACGTCCAGATTTTGCATTGACTATAAGAGTTCAAGAAGGTACAGAACCTCAAATATTTAAAATTAGATTTGTTGGTTGGGAAGAAGTCATTGCTGTAGATTTTACACGTACTGCTGAATCTGTACAAAAAACTGGTGCTGATCTTACTAAATGGGCTATGAAACAAGAGACTAAAGTAGGTGTAAAAAGATATACATTTATATTTTTATTAAGAATCCTATTTATATTAAAAAAAAAATTACTTATTGGTTACCAATATATTTATTATTTATTATTAGTAAGTAAATAATGTTTAAAACTTATATTTTAATATAGTAGTTTTATAAAACTTAGCATATAACTAATTAAAAAAGTAAAGTACAATAGAGATCCAGTAAAATAGTGTTAAGACATTTTTTAAAACAGTCAGGGACACGCAAATGAAGGAAAATGGATTTAATAATTTGAGTATCAAAAAAATTTCAATAATAAAATATAATTTTTTTTTTTTTGCATACAATGTATCTTGTTTAAAAATATGTATTAAATAGGGGTGTCAAATATAGTATTACCTTAGAGTGCCAAAAGGTTAGCATAGCATTGCTGAGAGTGATTAAAATCATTGAATTTTTAAAAATTATGGCACTGATTGCTTTAACTAGTTACATTTTGTGACCTTTTGACATATTGTTAAACAAAATCAATCCAGTAGAAGCAGAAATAATCGCATATATGCACACAAAAATAAAAATACGAGAGTAAAATCAGTAGCTTTTCAGCTAGCATCAAAGCTAAAAAAGTATAATTTTTAAAAAATATTAAAGGTATAAATATTTTTAGCATGACCTGGCTGCATTGTTTACACCTCGTCAACCACCAATGTTATTTAGTGAAGCCATGCAATTAATGCAAGATTGGAATGATGACCTTGATCAAATGGAATCATTTGTTTTGGAAGGGAAAAAATTTGTTCGTTTACCCGAGGAAGAATTAGGACATTTTTATAGCAAAGACTGTTATGTATTTTTATGTCGTTATTGGGTTCCTGTTGATGAAGAAGATGGCCCAGAAGATAATGTTGATAATCAACCAGAAGAAGATTTTCAATGTGTTGTGTATTTTTGGCAAGGTCGTGAGGCATCTAATATGGGTTGGCTTACTTTTACATTTAGGTTAATATTAAATTTTTATTAGTTATTTTTTATTTATAGTATGTGTATATTTATTATTACAAAAAAAAAATTTAATTAAAGCTACTTTTCCCTGGTTAATAATTTTTTTTATGAATATTATTTAATTTTTTATTCATCTTGATATCATTGCAATTCAATTTTTCAGTTTAGAAAAACAATTTAAAGCCATGCTGGGAGAAAAGTTAGAGGTTGTTCGAACTCATCAGCAACAAGAAAATATTAAGTTTTTATCTCATTTCAAAAGAAAATTTGTAATTCATTCTGGTAAAAGGAAAGAAAAACCGTCTCCAGTTGAGCTTTATCATTTAAGATCTAATGGTAGCGCTCTATATTCCCGACTTATTGAAATTAAACCTGATGCTAGGAATTTAAATTCTGCATTTTGGTAATTTAACTTAGTATAAATATTCTTAGTTTTTTTTATTATGATTCTAAAATTATTATTTAATTTTCAGTTATATATTAAGAGTACAGTTTGATCAAGAAGATACAAATGGAATTATTTATTTGTGGGTGGGTTCAAAAGCTGATCCCGAAGATATAAAACTTGCTGAAGAAATTTCAGACGAAATGTTTAATGATGTAACTATGTTTTTATCATAATTTTATGTTATCACTGACCCTTGACTTGAAATTAATAGACATGTTATTTGAAATACACTAGTAGTTAGAGTTGTACGACTGAATTTATTTGGCTACCAGAGATATCTTTAGGAACTTTTATAACATAATTATACCAGTTCCATAAAAAAATGTATAAATCATAATTTATGATTTCCATAATTTAAATTAAAAACAACTTTCAAAATACACCATAATTTAATAAACTACTAGTAAAAAGTTTTACATCACAGCTAGTACTGTGATCCTTTGATTGAGATTTCCTTTTTTTTTTTTTTTAATGCAACTCATGCTAAAATTTGAATAAGAAATAGGCAAAATAAAATATTTTATTGTTTATTTTTATCAAATAATAGAACTATTGTTAATTTTACTTATTAGCCATGGACAAGTCTACAAATTATAAATGAAGGAGAAGAACCTAATAACTTTTTCTGGGTTGCGTTGGGAGGAGAAGCACAATATGATCATGACGCCGAATATATGAAGTATACAAGATTATTTCGTTGTTCAAATGAGAAAGGGTATTTTACTATCTCTGAAAAATGTTCAGATTTTTGTCAGGTGACATTTTTTTTTCATTATGTTTTAACTAATAAAAATTGCCTAATGAAATATTTGTTGCAGGATGATTTAGCTGATGATGATATAATGATTTTGGATAATGGCGAACAAGTTTTTTTATGGCTTGGGGCCAGAAGCAGTGAAGTAGAAATAAAACTTGCTTATAAATCAGCTCAAGTAAGTTCAAATAATGATTTATTTTATATTTATTATAAACTTATGTTAAAATACATGTGTATTAACATCAAGATTTGGGAATCAAAAGTGACTCTAAAATTTATAATTTAAATTGTATTATAATTAATTTTATTTTTTCAAAATGATGTCTGATTATTATATTGAATCTTTATTGTGATTAAAATTATTATAAATTATTAATGAAGAATAAATCATTAATTTAAAATTACAAAATAGCATTAAAAATAAAAAGTATTTATTACTAAAATCCAAAAAAATATAATTTGTAAAATACCACAAGTGCTTATTTAAAAAATTATTTTTTCATTATCAGCTTAAAATATATTTCTAAATCATATACTACTAATATTTGTCATAAGTGATCAATAAATTTTAATATTCAAAAAAATATTTGTGATATAATTCCAAAGAATATCCTTGCTCCAAATGTTTATAATGAAAGTGGCACAAAAGGGAACTAGAATAATGATGCATCAGTCTATGTAAAACATAATGCACTAGAAAACATTTTTTTTTTAACTTTGTCACTGCATGTTTAAAAGTTAAAAACTCTTTTCTTTTCTCATTTCTTAGTTATACTATGGACAAAAATTAATACCTTTAATATATTCAATATAAGCTATAAATACAATAATCAAATTTGCTGATTGGGTTGGATTAATAATTGTTAATTTAGGTTTTGTTAAATAATTGTGTGGTTTTATAAAAACTATAAAATATAATTTTAAACATTAATCTAAGAAGATTAACTAAAAACTAAAATATCACTTAATAATGAATATTTTAAATGTGTTACAGGTATATATCCAACATATTAGAGCTAAACAACCAGAAAAACCACGGAAATTAATGTTAGCTATAAAAAATAAAGAATCACGACGTTTTTCTAAATGCTTTCATGGTTGGAGTGCACATAAAATAACACCTGAATAATTGTACAATTCTTAAATCCAGCTAATTTTCCTATTCTTCAAAAACTTTTTTGTACTTGCATTACTTAGTATAATTTAAACATAAACAACATTTAACATTTAAACAATTAATATTTAAATAATATATATTTAAGTTTAAACAAAACAAATATTAATGATGTATAAAATTTAAGTTAAATAATAAATAAATGACTAAAAAAATATTTCCATCTTCAAAAACTGCATTCAAATAATTTTGATCTTAACTAGGTAAAAATTAACTGAATTCAATCAATTTTTTTCTTTTAGTTTCTAAGTTACTATACCATCTAGAGTCAATGAATAGTAGTCAACACACCTTACTCTTATATTTCATTTAAAGACACATAAATTTATTATTTAATAATATGCTTAATTTCATTTTTTTACTATTTTAGACAAGTTTCGACACTATTGATCTTTAGAACTTGAAATCTAAAATGTATTATATTTATAATATAAGTTTAAATTTTGAAATGAAAAAAATTAAAGTTTAATTAAATTCTCACTATGTGAAAGTACTTCATAAGTATAAATTTTAATATACTATAAATTAAAAAAAAATCTTATTCTAACCTCCTTTACTATCTGTTAAACCGATATCAACTTGAGTTTTTAAATGGAAATATGAATTTAACTAGTTTTTAAATATAATAACATAAGAACCAAAATTAACTTTTTTTTATACTAGACCGGGCATATTTTTGACCAGCCTATCATTATATAAAGCCGAATTCTTTGCTAGGGATTTATCCTCTATAATATAATCAGTTAACTATTTAAAAAAAAATCATTTTCAAAAAATGGCAGTATGATTTTCTTTTAGAATTTTAACATAAATAAAATATTATTTTTCATTGTTTAGGCAAGTTTGAAGAGTAGAGTTTAAAATGAAAAAAATATATATTACAAAAAACATATATTTTTATGTATTATATTAGAAGTTAACTAAAATATTGAAAAAAATTGAGTCAAAGTTGAATTTATCTACCTGAAAAACATATTTATCAAACTTTTTTCTACTCACAAGTAGAAATTTTTTACTTATATCAATTTTTTCCTGTTAAAATTGTGTTTAACAACACTGTGCGGCGGCCGATATGTACTAAAAATTTTAATTAAGGCAAATGCTCAAGTTGCCCCCACACTGTTCAGCAACTTTAGTTACATAGACTGGATGACTATTTTCATATTGTCCATAAACATAGTTGTAAAAAATACTTTTAAAAAGTATTTTAAATAATACTCAAATATTTAAAAAAAAATGTATTTAAAATACTATTTGAATACTTTTCATACAAAAGTATTTGAGTAATACTCAATTACTTTACAAAAGTATTTCAAATACTAAGAATACAATTAAAAAATAATAATAATGTTTTTATTTTAACTAAGAGCAAAAGGTTCCACCTAAATAATTACCAAGAGGGTAATTTGAGTCAAATATTGAGTACTCTTAAATTAAGAGAACTCATTTATTATTTTCGATATTTTTTGTTAGAGGTAAATAAAATTAATTATTGGAGACTAATCAGTGAAAAAAATAAATATTAGTACACGTGTAAAAACCTGTAAAGTATGTCTTATTGACAATAGAGTAAATCATTTGAACCTGCAATAGGCTATTGTAGGTTCAACTGATGTATTAAAAATAGTTGTATACATAATAGCATTTAGATAAGCACAATAATTATGTTATACTATAATGTAACATATAAAATAACAGAGAATTATTCTCAATTTTCATTTTGACTCAGTTTAATTTGCTTGCTGTGTTACGGTTAGCAAATTAAAAAAAAAAAAGTATATTAATAGTACTGAATATTAAACAGTATTAAATACTAAATAATTGTATTTAAAATACTACTCAGATACTTTTTATTAAATGTATTTAAAAATACTATTCAATACCAATGAAAGTATTTGAATACTTTTATTCAAATACATTTACTCAAATGCTTTACGCCTTTGTCCATAAACCGCTATACTTTATAACATATGAGCAAAATTTCAGAAAAATTCTATATAACAACGGTCGATCATAAACTTGTATTATGCCATAACTTTTTAAAAAGTAGGATTTTTTTCATGAAATTTGTGAAAACACTTGGTACATCTCTGTCAAAATTGTAATAATAACATTAAGTCAATTTTAATTCAGGTTCATTGAACGAAGATTCTTTAGAGATTAGTAGTGTTTTCGTAAAACGAAGGGTATACGGTCTATTAGAAGAGGATTACGAGTCTCAATTCGGAGATACCTATAATATTTTCTGTTTTCATATAGAAATAGTAGCAATGATGACGGGTAAGATTTTTATCATCTCTCATCACGAAATTTTCTAACTTGTAAAATTTTATATAAAATATTGAGATTGGAATTATGTATTTACCCCCTACGATAATATCGTCATTTTTCAGGCATGTACCATGAAATTTAAATATCGTAAAATCATTCAAAATTCATTGTTCTGAACCCATGATAACATAAGGTGACAATTTTTTTCAATTCTATGACGTCTTTTGAACATTTTATCAAAAGATAAAACGGCTATACGATAGACAGATGAACACGGTTAAACAGACCGACGGTATGTTTAACCGCGCTGATAAAATACTGCATTTCATACAAAGCTTAGTTCCACTTTAATGTCAATAAGTTAACTTTAAATCGCTAAATTAAATATATATTAATATATATTTGTAATTATCTAGTTAAAGTACTTGATATTTTATCATCAGATTACTATTAATTAACGTTATATTAATACAAACACAGAATAATCAGTCGTTCTGTATTTTTAAAATAGTATTTATTTTTATATGGATATTAGACATTGATTTTTTTTTTTTACTATAGAGTATTATGAATGACGGTAAGAATAATTGAACAATTAATTTCTTAAGCATGAAATTATGACTATTTTTTTAAATTTAAAGTTATGCAATATTCATGTTTAACAATTTAATTTGGTTAACTTTATGAGTGTTACTTTAATAAAAAAAAAAAATGTAATGAATTACAGAAGAGGTAATTTGGCGTAAACTTCTCATTGATGGTGATGGAATTGGTGATGATAGGCGATTGAATATATTGTTAAAGTCTTATTTAAAATGGTGTAATACAAAATATAATGATCCCATTGAAAGGTATTATAAATTTAGTTATAATAAGTTTTATAAATAAATCAATTTATGATATTGAAAAAATTTATTATAAACATTTTTTATGTTGTGTTGAATTATTTCTAATTAATTCATTATTTTTGTGTTTCAATTCAATGATTGATTCTAGAGGGAAAATAAAATATTAATTTGCAATAATTTTATTAATATAGTTTTTGTATGAAATATTTTATATAGTAAAATTATCTTATACAATGTGATTCTATTAATAGTAGCCATTCAATTTTTCTTAAAATAATAATTATGTTGAGAAAATTGTTTTTTAGTTTCATATATTTTTTGATTTATCAGTTATTAATTACTTTTAACTAGCCTATAAAATAAGAAATTATATAATTAATAAAATGACTGGTATTGGACAATTTTTGACCCATTATTGCAGCAGAAGTTATTACCATTTTAAAATGTAGACTAGGAGTTAGGTTGTATGACAATATTAAATATTGGAAATTTCTCAACAGTACCTTTTCTACCGCCTTGGTAAAAATTTTAATAAATTTCAAAGGACTGGTCCAAAAGTTATTATCAATCAGTTATTTTATTAATTATATTATTTTTTATTTTATAAGCTAGTTAAATATTTATAATTGTACAAAAAATATGATATACTAAAGTGTACTAATTTTTAATGTAATTGATGTCAACTAATCGATTAGCTACATTTACTATAGATGGGAAAAATGATAATTTTTAAGTAACACCTATATTAATTCTAGTCACATTCATGTCACAATTACTTTTAATATTGATTGTTACTACTTATCCTATTCGTTCATCAGTACTCAAATTACTTTGAAGCATTTATCGAAATTGTCTATTATTTATATTTAAATAAATATTCTATACTTATTGGGATACTTTGGTTCACAAATAATTTATTTTTACTACCCATCATCTTGTTATTATTATGTGATCATGGATACATAAATGAAAACTAGTAATGAGTGAAAATTCTTCATATTAACATAACTATATTAAAATGAATTAACTAAAAACATATTATTTGTTGTTATACTATTTTAATATAAATTTCAAGTTATTACATAAAATTAGCAAGTCTTTCATGAAGAAGTATTTTATAAAACAACACACATTGGCTTCAACATAATATATGCAATAGGTATATTATTCCTAGTCTATTAATTTATGTCTATGAATCTGATAGAAATGATATTATCATTTATTAGATATGTAACAAGAAAAGTGGTTACTGATAAATTTTCTCAAAAGATGAAATATCAGTTATATGTAGTAGTATAAATTGTACATTTGATACTGTGTTATAATGCTGTTTACTTTGTAATATTATTTAATGCTATGCTGATTTAGAAATTAGTACTTTTTTGTCAGCCACCATTCATTTTCTCTCTTAGTATTTCTCCAGTAAAATTGTGTATTTGGATAAGTGTGATACCAGTTATATAGATCTTATTGAGTGTTTCAGACCTATCTAACAAAGATTTTTTACAATTATCATTATGTTGAAATTTTTTTTGAAATAATTGTAGACAATGTTTAAAGCATTTTTTTTTATTTTTGTCATAATTTCAGTTGTCATTTTTTCAGCACTTCTTACAAAAAATTCTGATGAGTTGATGTGAATTTTAGGATATATACTCTTGAATGGAGTATCCATAGACCAGTACAAGCTGCACCCACCTACCCACACCATATATCCACTCAATGTATTAAGAAACTTATAACTTAATAAGTAGTGGTCCTAAAATTGATATTGACCCACTAAAATGTTTTGCAGGAAAATGTCCATTTTGAAATAAAAGAAAAAATTGTCTTTGTTATAAATGATTTACAAAGGTTTTTAATATAGTCTAAGAAGGCATTAATTATTTTAAAACAAAATTGTAACTGTATCGAAAGATGTGTTGTTAGTTAGGTCGAGACATACATATAATTGGTTCATTTGAGAATTCATCAAGAGTAACCCACCTTTTTGTTACTTTAAAACTGATTAACTAGATTTTATTTTATTTGAAATTTTTAATATAAATTAAAGTATTATATAAGTTGTATATATTATAATACATTGATAATTTATGACTATTTAAATAAAAAAAACATACCTATTCGTTTCACCTTAATAATAATTATCAAAACATGAAAGATAAGTTTCTATCTTATTCAAATATAAGTGTCTAAGGATTTTAATTTTAGTTTAAAGGTTATGGAAAAAATGTTGGTACATTTAAACTTGTGCGAGCATGCAATGAAAAAATCACAAGCTGTATCTCGTATGAATGCTGAGGAAATTAACATTTATGATAATATGTCAAATGAAATTGATCATAATATTGAAAATACAAAGTATGAAATTCAACTAGCAAAGGAAGAATTAAGAAAAGCAAAAACTATCAGAAGAAATCGTATGGAATATGATGTACTTGCTAAACTTATTATCCAACACCCTCCTAGAACTGAAACAGCAAAAAGGCTTGACGATTTAAAGGATGAACTCCAAGCATTAAAGGTTTATTACATATTTTATTCTTAAAAATAATTTTATTAAAATTAGTATTTTTAGATGACCAAAAACGAATTAAATCAAAAACTAGATAAAAGAAAGAAACAATTGCATGTCCTTATGTCGACATTAAATGATTTAACTGATATCTTGGATGAAAATGGTTCAATAAGTGAGGACATGTCTTATGAAACATTTGATGATGAAGATTTAGATATTTTAACCAGGAAAGAAGATGTTGAAGAAAAAATGTCTGAATAAAATTTAATATTTTTAAAATTGTATCAATTATTATAATAAAGATTTATAAAATTTATAATTATTTTAAAATACACATCTAAAGACAAATTTTATACAGAAGTAATAGCTAGTGATAGTTCATTTTGAACAAAATTTATTGTTTCTCGTATAACTATTTGTTTAATTGAAGAACTGGTAGCCAAGGCGATTGCAAACTTTGCTACGTCTTGTATATTAATAGAATCTAAAGCTTTTTGAATAGTGTCTACCATTCTTTTTTGTTCATCATAATCTAAATCCTGTATTACATCTATTAAAGATTTGTAATTTGGTGCTAAACTTGCTGCAGCTGCTGTACCTAATAATCCACCTGAAAAATAATAAATTTAATTTTCACTTAAATTTTATTATTTTTTGAATATTCTATATGATAATAGAGACAATTTAATATAGGATTTATACAATATAAATAATAAACGGAGTATAAATATACAGAGTATAGGGTTAAAGATTTTTTCATTTGAAGCCTTCATCATATTTTTTAGTGTTTTTTTTTCTAATAATAAAATAAAGTTTTGGTTTTAGTAATTCATTTGAATTTACTGTAAGGATCATCATAGCCTATGTGATCCATCATATATACAATCACTTTAAAATTTTGGGTTGACATAATAATCAAAAAATTAATATTTTATATTTTTTTTTATAATTATAATTGAACAATTAAAACTTAAGGAACCATAAAAAAACATCATTATTGTTTTTGCTAGAGTTCTATTATTAAACATAGAATCAATATTTTAAATTCATTTATTTTGGAATAATATAGTACCGAAATAAAATGAAAATATATATAAACAAAAATTTAACAGCTATGCACATCATAATTTAATAAAATGTTAAGTTCTAGTAGTCTCACCAGCTATTAATCCAGTTTTACCGCCAAGTAGTCCTCCTATCATGGCTGTAATTCCTGTTATAAGACCTCCTTTCATAGATTCTTTTGCGCAGACCTTAATGTTTTCTTTTTCAAATAAGTCACCAATGACAAGTAACACATTTACAAGTACTTGTCGAGACGGTACAAGAGACATTTTTCTTCACTAAATTGTTTATATTAACTTATTTTTAGTAAAAAATATAAATTAATAAAATGTTTATTTAAAAAATAATTAGTGTGAAATTAATAATTTGACAAAGAGTACATGTAAGACAAAATATGTATTGATAATGAACAACATACCTACTTCAAAATATTAATTGATAGAACAAAAGAAATAATTATTTACATTGCATTTGATTATAACAGTTTGGTATGCATATGGTCAAAAAGTAAAAATATACTATTATTTTTAGATGTAAGCAAATTTTATTATTATATATACGATGATACCAACTATAAAGTAAAATTTATATTTCTGTATGCTACTTAAGAATTGTGATCAATCGTTCCTCTTTAATATTATTATCACAGAATAGATTAAACCAGAAGTGACACTATTAGTTTTTGCTGATAACAAGCTTATGTCGCTCAGTGTTGCCACTTAAGAAATAAAAATGTATTCCCTTTTTTCTTTATATACGGTCACATTGTTCAACACCATTATTAATGGTTTGTTTGTAAACACAATGTTTATAAAAATGGTTTATTGGTAAATATGAAAAATATATGGTAAATATTGGTATTAATGAATTAGAAAATATTTTTATTAATAACTTTTCCACACTTGCTATTGTAGATGGAGTTGGAGCCGAATTAAAAAATTATTTTTGTAATGTACCTTTTAACCACCCTTGTAAATGTTTTGATAAATTGTATTTAATTAATTTGTTTACAAGATTTAGAATATTTACAGCTATAAAATTTTTAAATAAAAATTTAATGTCTGAGAAAAAAATTAAAATAGGAAATTGTCTATTTTAACTCATCTATAAATTATTTATTTATGTATATGATATTTGTAAATTATTGTAATATATGTTTTAAATAAATTTAATATTATGTGGATATTGAATAATTTTTTTTTCCTAAATAAGTCTTTATTAAATATACATAAAATAAAAAATATATTAACACAAACTAATTACACATAATGAAAACATTAATTGAAAGTTTTAAAATGGTGTTATATGTTTAGAAATAATAATAAAATAAATCCAAAAAATTTACTATGCAAATTTTCTAAAATAATTAGCATGTAAATAATACATTTAGAGTTCAAATCAACCGCCGATGTACAATTATTGTACAGTACAATGAATTATATGCATACAATTATTTATTTTATTGTTTTTATGGTAACACTGAGCGACATAAGCTCAAAATTACCGTACTCTCATAAGAATACATGTAATTTTTTTATCAGTGTCCATTCTGGTTTAATCTATTCTGTGTTATTATTATCGTCAATATTGTGACAATGTTGATATATGATAACACATATGGTCGTACTGAAAATGGATTTATCAAACAAAATATATTATTAATATATTTTTTCAGGGTTACGGAAATTGCCACGAACTGATGATGCCCAGACATTCATTTACTCCGACACTGTAAAAAAATCCTCCGAATACATTTACTCCGACAACAATTACTACGAATACCGAGTTACAAAAATTTGGATTTTACTATGACGATGAATACTCCGAATAGGACTATTAATTGATTGCTCCGAATATCGATTATTCGCGAAATCGATTAAAAAATTATCAAATTTCGGAGTAGATGAATATCGTAGCAATATAATAACTGATGGAAAAATATAACCCTTATCACTAATTAATAAATATTAGTTAATATAATAAAACAGCGTTATAATTANGTGCTATAAAAATTGTCATGTGCAATTTTACTAGTGATTAATTCTTAAGTGTGTAATATTAAAAAATAATGACTAATATAAACTGTTAAAAACGAATAATTATTACAATAAAGATCCCCGAAATGTATCCGACTTTTGATAAAATAGGTACATAAAGGTAAAAAAGGGGGCTTTGAACTAAAACAACCCGTTACATAACTGGTGTGAGCCCTTAAATTTTTTTTTTGGAGGGGAAAGAAGAGCGATTCCAATTTTCAGACGTAAAATCTTTCTTACCTCTCCTTATTAGTGCTTATTATAACATTATAAGCACATTAGTATTATAACATTTAATTAGTTTAGTTAAAAAATATAGGGGTACGTTTCACTGATGATAGGATTCGTCATTAAACACATGTGTTTATAAAGATATTCAGTATCCCATTCTCTAAAACTGTCATTACAATTGTCTCATATGAAATCAAACAAAAATATGATTTAATATCATTTCATTGTTCAAAGGTGGGCAACGAAATTAATTCAGTCCAGTTTGGATTTGACAGCAATCTGGAGAGACTTGAGGGAGCATTGTCTCATAAAATTCTGCCATAGAATATACCGAAAATGAATTAATTTGTATTTTTTGTTGTATAGAAATATTTTTTAGATTAGGTAAAAAATTATGTATTTAGAGTTCCCAAATATTTTGTTGCAATACTCCTACGCTCTAGTAATATTAAGTAAACACAAAGCAGTTATAAGTTAACAGTGGACAATAGTTTATGATTAATCATAAACTTAATTAAATCTTCTGTTAAGATAATTAGTTTTAAACTTAACTAACTCGATTAAAAATATGCAGTCAATTCATTAAATAATGGTTGAATTTAATTCAATTAAATTTCAATTTAATTCATTAAATAAATGTTTTTTTCATTTGCATTATGATTATTTGAAGTTTTGTCAAATATACGTATAGAGTTAAATATTTTAATTTATAATCATAATTGAAAATCAAACAATTATTCATTTTTTCTCATTAAATGGAAATCAAATGTAATAATGTAATATTGAAACTGTACAACTTTTTTTATAAGATATATATATGTGGGAAATGCAAACAGGCAATTACAGGAACAGAGCGAAGACGCAATACTATTATTTAATTTATATATTTATAAATTAATACACAAAAACTCTATTAAATGTTAACAAACAAAAATAACACATATATTTAATTACACATGAAAACTCTATATAAAATATTCACACAACACAAAAATATTATATAAAACAGAATACACTTATAAACTAAAGAATATACATAGAGACACGTCTTAACCGACTCACGACTTGATTTAATCTCCCTCTATACACTTGATACCACTATCTATCTCCAGACCCTGGAAGTGGTGCCATCTAGATACCAATAGTACCCACATATATATATATATATAAAATTACATTTTTACAAAACATAATACATTACATTACGTGATTTTATTTTGAAAATTAATTTTTATTTTTTAGGAATATGCTTTCATATTCTAAAAAGTACATATAAAATAAATTCAAATTTTTAAAAAAACTTCATTTTGTATTTATAAAACAATACATTTGTATTTACAGGATACACGTTAAGCTAACGAGATGAAAACATTGGCAAAATAATCATCTTTTCGCAGTGTCGGTCTGGCTCAGAAGGCCCTCATTAAATTTAAGATTTTTTTTCTCGCTAGACGACTGAGAAAATTGTCCAACAAATTTAATTATTATTAAAAAAAAACCATCACAGGGGGGTCGCGGCACAGTGGTGCCGTGGTATAGTTGGATCAAGTATAATGATATCTGACAGTGATTAAAATCACTATCAAAAATAAACGCTTCGATGCAAATCTTTAGATAGTGTTTAATTTAAAAAAAATTGGTGTTTTATTCCAAAAGCTACATGATCTGCTGGTTCCTTATTAATGTCTCGATTAAAATAAAGTATGTCGAATGAAAAAGGGTTTATTAAAAAATATTATTTCTCATAAAAAAATTGTGTGGTTCCATACACTTTTCAATAAGTTATAGCATTATAAAGTTAAATATAATATAAAAAATAAAATCGAGAATTTTCACACGAAAATAGCATTTGATAGTCATTTTCACCATGAAGTCTAGAGATCAAATTTTTTTTTTCAAATTAAAGTATATTACATTAGCTTTAATTTAAGATATATATAAAAGTGTCAGACCTTTCGGAACATTTTCAAAAGTTAAGTTGAAAAAGTTAATTTTTTGTGAAAAAGTTGTCTTTTTAAATTCCCTCCTGTAGGCAGATAAAGGGTCAAATTTACAAAAAAATATATCAAATGATAGGTAAAGACATCAAGCATCTATAAAAAAAAAATTATATTGATATGTTCATTTTTGAAAAAGTTACGGCACATTTTAGTAAAAAAAAATTGAAAAAATTTCGAAAATAAGCGATTTTTAAATTTGTAATTTTTTTGAAGGTTGCCCCCATTTAAGGGGAACGAGAGAAATTTTTTCAATTTTTGAGGGTAATGTCTTCGATTAGATACGATTTGTGATCTTTTGACGTATCTTTGAAAGAAATCCGTTCGGTGAGAGCTGAGAAAAAGTGGTAACAGACACACACAAAAAAAAAAAAAAACACATCATAGTAAAACCAATACCTTCTCAGCTTCGCATCGAAGCTAAAAGGAAAGGCTATTCAGATATTTTTTTCAAGGAAATATCAAACTGATTTCAATAAATGTATATAAGATTTTAAAGAAAAAGAACTTTAGATAAATAATTTTTACTCCTTAATATTTTTAACTTTTCTTTGAGCACCATTGGAGATTATTATAATCTCCAATAAACTATAATGGTTTTACTTATAATTTAACATTGATTATAAAACTCATGTCACAAAATTAAAATTGTTTAACGATGAGTTAATATATTTTTACTTTTAGATGACACACAGAATTTTTAAATAAGAAAAAATTAATTCTACTTATATATAACCAAAACTTACTAATTCTTAGCATAACTCATATTAGAACTTGTAGCAAAACTTACACAGTTTAATATTATTTTAATTTTTTTTAATATAAGTTAAAAATAATTTTAGTAATTAATTATCAATTAAAATTGCCGAAAGAAAAATTAATCATAATCTACTGAGTCAACACAAACCTATTGGAAGAAACTTCCATAAAGTAATAAGACTAAAAAAAATGTATTCAACAATTACTGCATTGAAGTTGGATATACTGTGTTATTTTATACTTAGATATCCTAATGCAACACAGGAAAAAATCCAGTCATCCCCAAGAATGATGAGGAACACATGGAAGAAATTTCTTTTTTAACCTTGAGGTCCTATTGCACTACATACAAAATTATTGGATAATAAGATATTATTTTAACTCTTACCGAAGACACTTATCCATATTATCAAATTGGACATAGAACACCCAATTTTATATTGTACAAATATTAACAATTTTATGTTTATATTAGTCATTATTTTTTAATATTACACACTTAAGAATTAATCACTAGTAAAATTGCACATGACAATTTTTATAGCACATATTTGTTATAGAATATTTAGTTTTCAAATGGATCTCTTAGATGTTAAAAAATAAGTTACGGTTAGATAAAATTTTATAAGCTTTTCATGGATATATAATTATTAAGTGAACACGCGCTCGGAACTTTTTCAAAAGTACAATAAACCACTGCCAGTTTGAGAATACATATTGTTTACTAACGCAAATTGTGACTAGCAATTTCTCTATTATAGGTTACTTGGACACTCGAGTACCCCTTGAGATCTATGTGTTTCGATAGAAAATTTTATAAGCTTTTCATTGATATATAATTGTTAAGTGAACACGCCTCGGAACTTTTTCAAAAGTACAAAAAACCGATCGCCGGTTTGAGAATAAAAGCGATTACACGGCTAAATTATATTGGTTACTAACGAAAATTTTGACCAGTGATTTCTCCTATTCGGTTTACTTGGACACTCGAGTACCATTTTTGATTAATGCCTTTGGATAGGAAACTTTATAAGCTTTTATTTGGTGTATAATTATTGCCTGGACTCGTCTCGGAACTTATTGTCAAAAGTAAAATATAACATAACATTTTTTTAACCAACTGGCGACCTCTAGCGGTGGATATTATAACTATATCTGATTAGAAATTGCTATAAAGGAATTGCTATCTTCACAGTCGTAACAATTTTATAAGTTTTTTTTTTTTTTTAACTGGATAATAAATTTCTAATTAATATTGAGTAATGATATAAACCGTATCTGTTTTATCTGTGATATTACTTAAAAATACACTTTTTGACATAGAATTTAAAGAAAAGAATTTTGATTTGGAGTAATAGTCTAATGTTGCTCTAAAAAAATATGTTTAATACTTATTTTGAAATAAATGAGATTTATACATCATTATTAATTTCGAATAATTAATCTAGTAATTTTTATTTTGTAATTGTCTTATTTATTAAAAAATATTTTTCGAGATAAAAAAAGGGAGTCCTAAATGGCTAACTGTTTTTTCCACTTCTAGTAGTACCACATTATGATATTGAACAGCAGAATAATTTATCAATATTTTCTTTTTTTGAGAAAATAATCTGGTTAAACAAACAGTTAATTATTTAACATTTGCTCATTGAAACATATTCAATACTAACTGGACTTTTACCTTATCAATGGAGTAAGAATATATTTTAATCTTTAAATTTATTTCAGTTCATTACTGATAAAATAAAATTCAAATACCATCGTTATTACTTAATTTCTTGAGTTTTTCTAGTTAAAAAAATTGTGCGTAATTACCAAATACTACAAGTTAAATGAGACAGAAAGAAAAGTGCGTACTTTTATTCCAGATTACTCTATTAGTAGTATATGTGAGACTTCATCTCAAAGGCAATTTTGAAATTTGTTTTTTCATCCTTTTAAGGTTGAAAAACCATAAATTAAATTTTTTTAAATGGGAACCCTTATTTTTAATTTATTATTATGATGGAAAAAAAAATAATTCAGTTTTATTTACAGTTTTTTTACCTGATGGACCCATTATTTGTACTAAAAATAAGTTAATACTTAGAATAATTTAATACTTCACTATTCTTCATCTTTTCATATTATTATTTATGTTTATAATGTCTATGGTTGGCGGGTATCGATGTTAACACCTGATAAATCCACCTTGGTCCGTATCACAGACTATATGAAAATTTTCATATATCTGTGGTTATATTATTTTTCTTATCAATTAAAATAACCCAAGTAATGTTTTCAACTTTTTTTATCTATAATTTTTTTAGAGTTATGAAGGATTTTAACAGTACTGTTTATTTAGAATTAAATGAATAAAAGTGATATATATATATATATATTTTTCATATTATCATTGAAGTTATGAAAATTTAGTTAGAACTTTGAATTACGGTTACATGGTACTGTCAATGTTTTTATTGAATATGCGCTCGATTGTTCAATTTTTATTTTTAATTATGTAAAATATTAAAAATTAATAGTTTTGTTGAAATAAGTGTTTATTTTAATGTTTATACCATGGATTTAACGTTAACTGAAAAAGAAGAGTTTATGCAAGAACACCTTGTAGTTTGGGTATTTATATTTTTTAAATATTTTCTATTAATTTTTAATAAATTGTTTTGAATTTTTACAGTTAAAATCATGTTTAATGCAACCAGATAAACTTAACACTTATGAAGATTTAATTGATGGTACAGTAATTTATGAAGTTCTACTACTTATGTGAGATTAAATTATATTTCATAAAAAGTTACTTAATATTAATGTTCATCTTATCTGTAGAGATCCAGAACCATTATATCATGGTGTTATTCCAGGTCAACATGATCCAGCTATCAGAGTGCAAAATTTTAGTTATATTTTGAAAAATATTAAAATGTTATATGAAGTAATTTTATTGAGTCATCATTTTAAATTACATGGTAAAACATTTTATCAAATTAATATTAATAACTTTAGGAAGAATTAGATCAAGTTATTCTTACAATGCCAGATTGTTTACGATTTGGTCGAGAACCATATTCAAAGCGTAGTTATGAAGATTTGAAATTATTATTGTTATTGTTACTTGGGTGTGCTGTTCAGTGTCCTAATAAAGAAAAATTCATTGAGCGTATAAAAATGCTACCTATTGAATCTCAACATGCTCTTGTACATTATATTAAACAGGTAAAAATGCGCAGAAGTTTAAAATTTTCATAAATGTAAATTATATTTGTATTAGTTAGACATTAATATTTAGATTTTTATAACAATATACTGACTACCATGATATGAAGTTTTTAATATTTTTCTTTATATATAAGTTTTTGAGCTATAATTAATATAATAAAAGAGTTTAAAATTGATTGCATTTTTTGATAATATAAATTTTTATCATATTTATTACTTAATTTTTTTTCTAATTAGATAACAGAAAGTCAAAAAATTGTTATAACTCAAGAAAATGCTGAACATTTAACTACTGATTTAATGATATCTCATATTCGACAATTAGTAAAAGAACGAGATCAATATCTTCAAGTAATTATGTGACATAAACAAAACTTATTTGTTTCTACAAATTTTGTGTTCTTATATAATTAAAAATATTATTTATTTGTAGTTATGGACTGAAATGGAAGAAAAACGATGTAGTTCATTTAAGCCCATGCAATCATCTACGTCTGTTGGACCTAGTAGTGATAATCAAAATTATGCAATTGAACTTGCTGATTGGAAAGCAAAACTGCGAAAACTAAGACACGAACTGTTAGTAAATTATTTTTTCCTTTAAAGAATTTATTTAAGACGACATGGTGGTCTTAATTAAAAATTTTCACAAGCTTGATTTAATATTTAATACATAGTTCTAAGGTAAAATAAGGTATAATAATAGCGTTAGAAGGAGACTTCCAGTGAAATGTTTCCAAATTTATATTGAAAAGTAAAATGTACAATAAGTCTTATTTTTAAAGTATTTACATATTCAAATGTTTTGAATGATATGGGCGGGTTATTGTGTCAAGTGGAAGTTTAGGATAAGGGTGGCCGACCCCAAGTAGCTGGCGAGGAAAAAGAAGAAGAAGATTTACATCTTCCAACATTTTGCTTTGTTATTAATTAAGTTTAAACTGAATGTTCTTTAGTTAATAAATCTTTGCAGTTATTTTAGCCAATGTTTACGTAACTTTGTTTAATTATAATGATGTATAACCGAGTGATATCTCAGATTTAAGTCTTTTTGTTTTTGTGCTAAAATTACCACTGTTTTGAGTTCATCGAGCAACTTTCATTTTTAATGGATTAGATTTAAAATCTGCCACTTTATAGGCTGAACAAACTTTATATTTAGCTACATGACTCATCACAATTAGCATACCTCGCTTTATTTTTTTTAGATTTAGGCTATCATATAGCAACTACTGTGAGTAAATAATTAAAATAACTAATCTTAATAGAAATCATTTCAGTTTTTATCCAAGTTTAATGATAAAATTTATTAACTTATTTAACTTAAGAACACAGTTAAGTTATTATTAAAAAATATGTGTCATAGAATTTTTTTAATTATGAAAATAGGTAAAAATAATTTAATATTGATATATACTATTTATTATTTGAAATATTTCAGCGAGGAAAAAACAGAAGCTCTATCTGAAACAAAAGAAGAACTTGAACAAACAAACTACACTGTATCTAAGTTAAAAGAAGAGGTATAATAATTTTTAACTTAATAATTAAAATTTCATAGTATTAAATTTAATTAATTTAATAATTATTGCTAGTATGCTTTATATTTAATAAGTAATTTTTTATTATCATATATATGGACTGTTTTTGTAAAAAAAAAAATAGTCAAGTTAAAAATTATCATTTTCCAGTAGAACAATCAAATTTAATGAGTAAATGAGACTTTACAAATTCTAAACACATTTAATAATATCTTAATTAACTATGAAAATAAAATGGATGATTTTTAATGTACTAATTATTTTCTAATAAAATTAAAAATAAAAATATTTGAATAAAAAATGGTCGATCTTTTTACAAATTATCCATATTAATAAATTATTATTTTAATATTTTAATTTATATAAAAAAAATTTATTTCTGAAAGTTTTTAGTTGTGGAGCATATATATATCCAAAAGAACAAACCTTGTTATATTCTAGTAAATAATTATCAAGAGCTTAATGTAATCACTTTACAAATTTTGTTTATATGTATATTTTTGCTATATAAACAAGCTTCGTTAATCTTTTTTATTATTTGTAATTAAGTTTCTTTTCAATAATAAAGTAAATATTTCTTTTAATAAAACATTATAGCCAATTATTTTATTAAATTAATTTTTTTGTCAGATTGAACAAATAAAAGTTGATGCTAGAGCAGCTAAAGCTTATAGAGATGAGGTGGATGCATTGAGAGAAAAAGCAGAAAATTATGAACATTTAGAAACAGAAATAAAAAAATATAAAGAAAAACTCAGTGATTTGGATTATTATAAATTAAGAGAAGAGGAACTAACACAGAATAATCTTTTACTACAAGAAACAAGAGAAACTCTTGAAGAACAATTATTAAAATTCAGAAAACGTATAACACAAATGCAAGACATGGAATCACAGTTATTAGGTTTTAAACAAACAATCAATACAATGACATTAGAACGAGATGCACATTTAAGAAAAATTGACGAATTAATTAATGAAAATGCTCAGCTTGATTTGATGAATAAATCTCATCAGTTTAATGAAAGTTTTAATAAAGGAAATATTGATAACAGTTTTTTTGATAATATTGGTAATAATTAATTTAATTGTCATAATAACTAATATAATAATTTTTATTTTAATTATAAGAACTGAAAGTAACCACCATTTTTAATTACATGATCTAATCTTTGTAAAATTAATCTGAGATAATGATTAAAGAACTGTGTCACACCAATTAAGTACACTTAAAAATTTTTTCAGAAGAAGCAATTTACTAAAATATTTTTTAATAATATTATTGGTTAAAGGTTTTCCCTAGATTAATTATCGTTGCAAAACATCTGAATATACAACCTGCTTTTATACCAAAGTATATAGAAAAAATTATATTTAATAAAAACTATTCTAGATGTATTATTGAGCACTTTAATAATCTTGTAATATTAATAACTTGGTTAAAAAAATCTTTTATGTTAGTTCATAGGATTATTATTGTGTAATCAATAAGATTTTATAATGATATTCAATCATTTTATTATAATGTTACTCTAAATTATAAGTAGTGATAAATTATCAACTACAGATAATTTATTTTTAATCTTAAAAAATCAATATATTTATACCTGTTTTTTCCTTTAAGAAACTTTTTACTTAAAATTTAATTTAATTTATGAAAACACTTACTTTTTTTTAGAGTCTAAAGATAATAGTTTATGTGAACAGCTCAGTAGTAGTGCTCAGTCGCAAGCTTTAAAGCTTGAGCTTGAAAATAAGAAACTTATATCAACTATTGAATCATTACAAGAAAACCTCAGGCATCAAAACAATGAAGTAATATTAGAGCTAGAAAAAGACAAAAAATTATTATCACTGCAGGTAAATTATTTCATTAGTTAATATGTGTAAAAACTATACTTTCAATATTGTTTGGATATACTATATTTATTTATGTACTTTTGTCAATTTATAAAAAACAGCTTGAGGAATCAGAAAATATTAAAAAGCGATTGCAAAATCATTGTGCATTAGTGGAAAATGAATTGTGTACACTGAAAAATGAGTTAAAAAAACTAAATGAATGTTGTGTACATCAAAAGTATCAGATAATTGTAAGTTAAAAATTATTGAATATGGCTTTTTATCTATGTGTACAGTAATTAATTTAATTAACTAGTCAGTTGCACAACTATAACGAAAATCTTGATGGTAATAAAATTTTATAAGCTTTTAATTGTACATAATAATACCTAATTATATTAATATATAGTTTTTTTATATAAAAAAATATATAAAATTTTTTTATTTATAAATAATACATGTATAATTTAACCCTTAGAAGGTGCGTGCCTATTTTTAACGTTCATAGTCGCGTGGGGGTCTATCAGACCCCATTTCTAAAAAAGTATAAAATATATATCAAAAAGCTCATTTTTTTTAATTCAAAGACATTAATTGTTACCATATGATGTATAAATATGGATAAAAATTAAAAAATAATTAAATTACAAAACTATGTTTATTACTAAAAATTATATTACGAAAAAAAAAAAAATTTTGTTTTGTAAAAAAAATTATTTTTACTGCAAAATCTTATTTTTAAGACAGTAAACAAAAGCTTTTACTATTACAAAATGTATTTTAATTAATTTTTCTTGTATTTCTTTGAGCTCAAACACGACTTATATTTATTAGTTTTATGTGTATTTACATTTATATAATCATTTTTCTGAATTGAATTTTTTTATTATTAATATTACAATACATTTAATTATTATGATACGAGTATATACAATTATTCTGAATCTGTTGAACATTGATTTTTCTCCCAACAGTCATTGCATACTGTTTAATATACGCGATGTATTTATTACATGTTTTGTTCTAATTTTTTCCGTATCATCACTTAGTGGAAATTCTAAATAGATTATTTATTTTTAAAACTTAATTGCACAGTCAGTGGTAGATCCACATAATTCCAAATCCACAATATTATATCGATTATAACATTGCATTTACGATAAAACAATATTTTGAAAAAAATAAAAATCCAAAAAAAAATTATAATGTTACAAGTCGCGTGGGGGTAAATACGACCCATTTCAATTTTGATGAATATTTTAAGTCATAAATTTTTTTTTCGAAGGTATTTATTTATGAAAATTGATTCAATATTACTATAAAAACCATCTTCTAGATTTATATCTATATACACCTTTTATGCAATATAATACATCCGTTTTTATTCATGTGGGGGTATGCTAGACCCCCACGCGACTGTTTAAGGGTTAAAAAACTTTTTTAATATATAAATTTATTTAAACAAACGTCAATTATGAAAAAAATTATTAATCTATATTAATAAAAGTACATAGTTACAATTCGAATAAGGGCCTGGGACCAGGGGTTGCTGAAAAACTCTCAGTAGTTACATCATTGTAACTGATATAGCAGTGGACATAACCAAAAGAGTTTGTAAATATTGTGAAATGAGACTTGGATTAAGACTCTTGAATTGTTGTATTCTCTTTTTTTTGTGATTAGTTTCAAAAATTATCACATGAATTAAATTGTTGGTTTTGGAAAAAAAGAATTTAATTCAATTTTACTAATTTTTTATGAAAACATTTTACAATTATTAAAATTTACACATATTTCAAATAACAAGTTCAACTAATATAAATTTCTCTTTATTTCATAATTTTATAGGATATTTAAATTTTTTAAATAATTTTTATCTTATAAAGGAAAAAAGTAAAGAATTAGAAATTACTAAAAAAGAAATTGAAGTTTTGAAAAAGCAAGCAGAAGAAAACAGTGTACTTTACAGTAATGAAAAATCTGATTTATTAAAAAATGTTGAACTTAAGAATAACCATTTGGAAAGAGATATTTCTAAATTAAAAACATTATTGGAAGTAAGAATAAAATTTTTGCAAAATAATATAATTATGTTAAAACATTATTAATTTTAGAATAAATTAGAAACAATTGATAATTTATCAAGCGAAATTGAATTACTAAAAAAAGAAAATAAGTTGTTAATAACGAATATAGAAGAAAATGATAAGCAAATTACTAGATTACGGGATATTGAAAATGAATTCTATGATTTAGAAAGTAAATATGCTGTTGAAGTAGCAGCGACTAAAGCAGTCCAAGATGATTTAGTTACAGAAAAACGACAATCTCAATTAATTATTGAAAATTTAGATAGATTGGGTTTAGCTTTGGATCAGTCTGCTGAACCAGAAAATGTTTTAGACCAGTAATCTAATTTAATTTCTAAATTAAAATAAGTTATACTTTAAAATTAAAATTAATAATTGAAAACAGAGAAATTTTTGAAATAATAATAATAATGATCAGTTTTACATATTTTTGTTTCCTAAACTTAACATTCACAGGGGGTAGTGACCTTCTTTCAAATGTTAGGGAGTCAAAGATAGTTCTTGGCTAAGTCAAGAATGGACGAGACGGGTATTCTGACCAGTCTGCATCAGAGACCAGATATCATGAATGAGGAAATTACAAGAATAATCTTGTTGGCACCCTGGAATTCGAACCCAGGACCCTGTGCGTCAAAACATACATTTCTAACTACTAGGCCAGGCCAACCCCTTTTTTAAAATAATATCCATACAAATAAAAATTTAAATAATGACTATTTTCTTTGTAGGCATAAAATTGAATCATACTATGAGTAATACAAAGGCATAAATGATTAAACATTTTGGGAAGTTATATCTAGTTTTCTCTCAACCTAAATACAATTGTTTATTTTAATATACATATAATATTTTGAGAAAGTTAGGCTTTATTCCTAGATGTAGATTAAGCAGGATTGGTAATTACACATATAAAATGTTAAAAATGTATTAAAAGTATAATATTATAAAAAAAAACTTCTAAGTTTAACTGGGTGCACTTTTGGGGGGAGTAAACCTTTCTCTTACCAGTTCTATCCATAATTTATGAAGACAATATTTACAAATTGTGTCTCTAAGTATGTTTTTTTTTTTAGTTATCATTTTAATACTGGGAATTTTTTTAGAAAAGATGTTCTTTAATTTGACTACCATAGGTACAAAGTAAATTTACAACTACACAATTTTTTATTTTAGATGTAAAAATATACATATTTTTATATTCTGAATTAAAGGAATATATATTTAATAATTTTTATAATAAAAAAATTGTTTGTATGAAACTAAATGTTCCATACAGTATATTATATTTTTATAATACTTATTATACTGAAATTAACCTTGAAAATAAGGCTAAAATAACTATATTTAACTTGTTATATTAATATAGATATAAAACTTTTATTTATAGCAAAACTAATTTTGTATATTGTAAATATTTTCAGAATTGTTTCCAGTCCTGAAGTAATTAAAGCTGTAAGAAATAAAATCAACACTTCTAAAAGTTCTGATTTAAATAATGATCATGTTGCTCAATTAGAAGTTGAATTAACCACATTGAAATCTAAAGTGCAATCTCTTAACACTCAACATACTGCATTGCAACTAGCTAATTCACAGTTAGTTGCTGAAAAAGAAGATGTAAAACAATTTAACTTTTTTTTAATTTTATTTTACAAATTTAAATTCAAATCAGTATATCAATGCTTATTTTAATCGTAGACTCAAAAAGACTTGGATGCAACTAAAATAGCTTTTTCTAAACTACAAAAACTACATAATCAGCTAGCAGTAGAATACGAAGAACAATTAAAACAAAAAGATTCCTTGAAAAGTGATCTTAAAGATGCAAGATTGGCATTAAAAGAAAAGTTAACCCAGTTGAGAAGTGTCGAGTCTAAGTTAAAAAGAGATAATGAACAGTTAAAGATAGAAATTGCTACTGTTAAACATTTACCCGCTGAACACTCTAAATTAAAGGTAAAAAAAAATTATTTGAACAATGTATTTAAGTTAAGAATATTAAATTAATCAGTGTGTTCTGTTACTGTACTGAGCTTTATTTGCAGTTAATGTTAATCATTCATCTAAGATTAATAATTGATTTTAAAATCTCATTTGATGGTTGAATAGAATTGAAGAATCATATGAATAAATAAATAATTTATTTTTTGTAACACTTTAAAACAATTTTTTTAATAATAATATGTGATTGAATAACTATTATTTTTGTTTTGTATTTAAAAAATATTTTAGGACGATTTTCGAGCTTTATTCACAATTAATGAAAAACTCAAAACAGATTTGAGAAATAGTTATGAAACAATTGACCAAGTTGAAGGATACTTGAAAGAAATAAATAACTTGAAATCTAAACTCACTGATGCTAATGCTCGATATACAGTAACTATACTAGCATATTATAATATATATATACTGAGTGATTTTTTTATCATAACCCACTAAATTACTTACTGAATAAATATATTTAAACATTTTTTTTTTTTTTTTAGTTATCTTTAGTTACGCATTCTTGAATTATTAACTATGTAATACTTTTTAAGTTCATCCCTTATGCCTTGTAAGGATGTCAACTTTGTTTTTTTAAATGGAAACACATATTTTTAATTTAATAAAATGTTTGAGTTTTTAATTCAATAGTAATTTGAATTTTTTTTAGTTATTATCGAGGTGGACATAATGCCGATGCACTCACCCTGTTGGTCCATTGTGCGCTCATTTGAATTTTTAATATAACTATATTTGTTCATTAGATATAAACATTTAAAGTTTCAAATTTTTGAGTTAATATACATGTAAAATACACAAGGGATTGCAAATACAGGTAGCTAATTGGTTTTTTTATGACATCAATATACGCAGGTACACAGTATTGGTATTATGAATGGTAGTAAGACACATTGTGGTGAGTTCATAAATACACTAACTGATTATGTAAAAAGTATATCTATTGATAGTCATAATTGATAATAAACAATCCGTGACTGTGACAGCGATGTCATAAAAACCATTTAGCTACCTGTATTTGTAATCCCTTGTGTATTATACATGTATATTAACTCAAAAATTTGAAACTTTAAATGTTTATATCTAATAAACGAATAAAGTTATATTAAAAATTCACATGCCATTTACTATTGAATTAAAAACTCAAACATTTTATTAAATTAAAAATATGTGTTTCCATTTAAAAAAACAAAGTTGTCATCCTTACAAGGCATAAGGGATAAACTTAAAAAGTATTACATAGTTAATAATTCAAGAATAATGTTTAACTAAAGATAACCAAAAAAAAAATGTTTAAATATATTTATTCTGTAAGTAATTGAGTGGGTTATGATAAAAAAATCACTCTGTATATTATATATATATATATATATATATAGTACTATATTATAATTGCATTTCTTTTGGTACCATAGGTATTACAACAAATGACTAGTACTTTTGTAGAGGACAGAAGGTCTTTAATGGAACATGTAACAATGCTTATTACCCAGTACCATGAACTTTTGACTCAATCATTAGAAGATAAAGAACAGTATCATTTAGAAGAAAAAAATAATGCGTTTGTATAAAATTCAAATATATATCGTATCGTACAGAAATCTTTTTTTTATATATTAAATTTTTTTTTAATTTGATTTTATTGTAATATAAAATTAAGTATTGTTTAATACAGCTTAATCAGGCTGGGAATTATATTGTTCAGAATCATTAAGAGCCTAACATTTTTGTGACATTTTTATCCCTTTATTGTACCTTTATTTCAAGGACTAAACAATAAAGAAGTTGCCTAACTTACATTCCCTGGAATAAACTTTATAAATATTATATTTTACATATTTAATATTTAATTTCATAATATTTTAGGGATAAATTAAATCATTTATCACGTCAAAAGGAAAAACTAGAAGAAAAAATAATGGATCATTATAGAAAATTAAACAGCTGTAGTATTAATAAGAAGTAAATAAATTTTTTTATCATAGTAAAAGTTATTTTTAAAAATAATTTTAATTTCGATATCATATTTATGAAATAATACAACATAATAATTTTTGAATTTAAACATTTATTATTTAAATTTGTAACATTTACTTCATTTTATTTTTATTTAGTTTTAGGTAATACAAATGTTACAATTAATTTTTTATAAAATTTCATTTTTAGAAAAACTTTTGGTTCTGCATTGTTAAAAAGAGTAAAAAAAGCTGGAACAGAATTGATTAATAAGGTACATTTCTAAAATTTCATTTTTAGAAATAATGAGTCATCCATAATTTATAATTTAATTTCAAATATTATTATTTCTCTGTCATTAATTATTATTATTTTATAATTAAATTAATTTTAAATAGAGTCGAACATCTTGGCATGAAGATATGGTTAGAAGAGGGATTGATTCTGATACAAGTTTAGATTTTGAAGATACTCCATTAAATCATGGTATATTTATAATTATTATTATTTAAAGAAGTATGTTGGTGAATCATAATTTAAATGTTTTGTTTTAGAATATTCTGACAATTTAACCAGTCTGGGAACACCTGGAACAAGGCAGACCCTTTATCTTTCTGGTGAAGAAAATGTAAGATTAATTAATAATTAAACATTATTTAGTAAATGCTTCCCAAGACTTGATAAGCAATATAAACAGAATTATAAGTAGAACCTATTTTACATTTTGCAGTCTTTGGAATAAAACATGTCAACTATTTTTAGGTTCCTTAAAAATTTTTAGTTTATTTTATTTTAAATTTAAGTTTGAAGATCAAATTTTTCAAAAAAAAAAAGTAATTATAGTTCTAAATTAGGGTTATTAATATAAAATTGGAAAATATATACATATATTAGGGTGGATCAAAAAAAATTGATCTTCAAAATTTTAATGAGAATCATTTTAACTTTAATTTATACATTAAAATAGGAATTTTGTGAAGATTTGAAGTTTTTGAAAAAATATTTACTGGTAGCTCAATGTCTTTTTAGTATTTTGGCCAAAAATCACCTCTGTTATTCAATTTTTGTTCGAATATTATGACTAGTATATCAAAATAGTTTGATATTTACTGTAAAAAACAAATTTTTAGTTTCAATATTTAAGTCAAAAATTGATAGTGTGGATATCATAATTAAAGTCATTTATGATATATTTGTAGTAGTCTCAAGTAAGCTTAAAATTAAAACTTTTTTTTTCATGTGGTTTGCCAGATATTTATGATTATAAGTTGAAAAAAAAATTATTCACTTATCTTAAAAACCTATACGTTTTTTTAAAAATAAAGTGTAAGCTAAAATATATGAAATTTTTGAAAATATTTATAAATGACGGTTGATCATTAAATACTTTTCATTTATTTTTTTTTATCAACCAATTCATTTATACTAATTATAACAAATAAAATAGAACAATAGAATATAATTTTATGTTATGATAAAATGTTTTAGCTTCGATGCGAAGCTGAGAAGGTATTGGTTTTACTATGATGTGTTTTTTTTTGTGTCTATTACCACTTCTTCTCAGCTCTCACCAAACAGATTTCTTTCAACGATACGTCAAAAGATCACAAATCGTATCTAGTGAAAGACATGACCCTCAAAAATTGAAAAAATTTCTCTCATTCCCCGTAAATGGGGGAAACCTCCAAAAAAATTATAAATTTTAAAATGGCTAATTTTCGAAATTTTTTCAACTTTTTTTACTTAAAACTGCCATAACTTTTTTAAAAATGACCAAAACAATATAATTTTTTTTTATAGATTCATAAGGTATTTACCTATTATTTTGTATATTTTTATTATAAATCTGACCCTTTATCTGCATACAAGGGAAGATTCAAAATGACAACTTTTTAAAAAAAATTAACCTTTTCAACTTAACTTTTGAGAGTATTCCGGAAAGTCTGACACTTTTCTATATATCTTAAATTAAAGCTTATGTAATATACATAAATATGGAAAAAATAAATTTCAAAATTCATTTTGTCTTCATGGTGAAAATGTCTACCTTATGCTATTTTTGTGTTAAAATTTTCGATTTTGTATTTTATTTTAAAATACCTTACAAAAGTTTTTGAGTTAAAAAAAATTATAAGATTATTTGATTTTTATCTCATTTAAATTCCATAACTTTAATAAATATCAAAGACGACCCCATTACTGTAGTTCCCCTAGTTTGAAGAAATTTCTTATCCATATTAAAGTTTTTTTATTATGTTATTTTTTCTTTATGGCTCTCATTTATTTTCTTTGCTCTTACCTAGCCAATTTTTTTTAAATACATCAATTGACCACAACTAATACATTCAACTGAGTAGATTTTTTTAATAACATTTTGATTGGTTTTTTTAGTTAAAGTAAATCATTAAAATTAATTCTGTTCTTTAATAATTCAAATGTAGAATATTTTTAATCACCAAAAATTACTTAGAAATGATAACTGATTTCTATTTAAGTGATCTATTACATTGAAAATGGAAAAAAAATATTGAACTTTTTTGATAAATTTACAGTAAATAGTAATTATACAATTTCCTGACTGTATGTTAATCTTAATAATACTATTTTTTTATTATCATCATTTTTTCTATTTAATAATGTAAATTTCAAACTTGAAGTTGAGCTTAAAGTTATAGTAAAAAATTAAACTTTTTTTATTATAAACTTTCAAAAAATCAACTTTAAAATACCAAAAAAATAGGTTAAAAATGATATTTTGCACTGATTATTTTTAACATATTAAAAATCAAAGTTATCCATTTATTCATAATTAACTACAAATTATTATCAATAAATTTCTGTGTCAAGCTCTTCAATTTTTATACACGTTAGCCATAAAAATAATTACTTTATAATTTTTTATAAATTCTCCAAAAAAAATATAATATTACATTATTAAATAACAATTTCATATTACGTTGAATTGCTTTAATAGATATTTATTCATTAATTACTTATAAATCAACTACTAATTAGGAATTATGATAGAAATAGAAGTTAATATTACTTTTAGAATAATCAAGCAATTTCTTAAAATTAAAGACTATCTACAGATTTGCATCGAAGCGTTTTTTTATTAAAGTGATTTTAATCACCTTCAGATATCATCTATAGTAAACCCAACTATACCACATCCCTACTGTGCTGGGTTTTTTTTTGTTGTAATCGTTTGTCGATGAGTTATGGTCTTCCAGAGTTTTTCATTATGCTAAATTAATTATAAATTACACATCTAATTTTTTTAATTTATAAAATTTAAATAAAAAAAAAAATTAAGTTTCTATCCATTAAAATATTGTGTAAATTTAAAATTGTACTATTTTGCTTTAATTTAATAAAATTTAATTTTTAGGATTGTGATGAAGGATCTATTGTTGCTAGTCATTCATTACCCGATTCTCCTCTTACATCATCATATCAGAATGAAAACAAGTAAATTGTTTTGAAAATTCATTAGAAAAGTTTATATAATTTTACAAAATTATTTTTCAGGTTAATCCATTCAATTAATGATGAAACCATCAATAAAGATAATAAAAGTAATCAATCAGTACGTTCAAATAAGTCTCACACAAATGAAGATTCTAACTGGTATGAATATGGTTGTGTTTAAGTATAATTTTTTGCAATATTTCTTGACTGACAAAATTTTATGAAGTATATTTATCTTTTAATTTGTTCCTTATATATATATAAATGCACAAAATATTTTTCTATATATTTAAATTATTATATTGTAAATAAATGTTCATAATAACTTCCTATATATTTTCAAAACTTTTAATAATTTGTAGAATAAATTAATTTTAAACTTTCAAAAAACATTTGATGAATTTTTTAAGTTATCTCTAAAAAAAAATTTCGTAATAACTTAATTATATTAGTAGTAATAAATACAATATTTTTATTGTAGTGCATTAATCATTAAATTTTTAAGTATTAAGTCTCACTAACAATTAAAATTAACATTAAGTATTTTATAGTATTATTATGTATACATGTAATATTACTTAAATTTGTTAATAACTAAAAGACATTACCATGATTTCAAAAAATACGAATTAAAATGTGATATATTTTTATATAATGGTGATTTGTACAAAGTATTTTTAATAAGAATAATCAAAAGAAAATATTTTTATTATGCTAATCAGATTTATAAGCCTGTTTTTGGTCTATAATACTAATGTGTTTGTATTTATATTTTTTATATGACATTATTCCATAAATATATATGTGTTAGTACTTATTTACTATTGCAATATTTCTGAATGACCCTAATATAGTTTTCAACAGGAATGTTTTATAGATAAATAGGCTTTTAACAATATTATATCATGAACAATTTTGTAATAAGTATTTAAATTATTAAATATTTGATTTTATTAAAATGATTTTGGAAAACATAAGTTATTTATTAAATTTCAAATTACATGGTATAATAAAAATATTATGACTAGTGTTCGATAGAAATATAATTATACTGGATATCCATGAACCAATAATCGATTTCCTGATGTAGAAGGAGTTAAACGACTTACAATACTCTATAATTAAAAATACATAGAATTTTATGCTCGACTTGAATATAATTTGTTTTAATTACCTTATGATTACTTTCAGTAGCATAAGCAAAGCACATTGTTTTGGTACTATGTGCACTTAAAATTTCATAATAATCATTATTCTGATAAAGAACCAAGGCGCCGGCAAGTTTTTCTTTGTAGGAACTTAACAATGGGGATTCTGATAAATAATTATTTTTTATAATGTTCAACTTAATTATTTTTAAGTAATCAAAATTGTGTAGACTCACGAAAAAAATGTTCATTGAAACTTTTATTTATTGCAAAGGTAGGACATTCATTATTCATTAATTGATGTGATATTTCTTTTGCTAAATTTGTTTTCATAAGATGTTCGCCACAGCCAGATGTTGTTACAGCAATCGAAACATTTTCATTTATTTGAGCCCAACATCCAGAACCTAATAATGCAGACTTTTTAAAAAAATTAATGGTTTATTATTATTATTCAATTTTAATAAATTATTATTTTTTTAAATAATTTGGGTGAAAATATGATTTAAATAAACAGAAGTATGACAGGATATTGACGAACTGCTTCATAAAAATATTAATAATTACAAAATGAAGAATGAGAGTGTGGAATGGGTTTGGTTATTTTTATTATTAGCCATTCTGTACTATATTAATCCTTGTGGATAGGAGATAAGGATACTTCCACAGCCCCTCTGCCTGTCGTAAAAGGTGACTAATAAAGTTTTGCCAGGTAGAGTTGATGTAAAATTTTTATTAATAAATGAGTCCTGAACTAGGAGAACTTTAAGTAGTTAAAGAAGGTGAAAACCTAAAGAATAAAGTGTTTGATACTAGCCTGACAAATTGTGTGGTAGCTGTTTCACCAGTCATGTGTATAAGCCTACCCAACACTTGTAGTGTCAATGGTGTACAGACATCATCACTCAACTCTAGGTTGGGCTCATATATAAGGGAGAAAGTAAGAATAGGTACTTGAAATATTGGAACATTAACTGGTAGAAGTAGAGAATTAATAGAGAAAAACAATTAATATTTGTTGTGCATAGGAAACTAAGTGGAAGGGAGAGAAATCATGTGTAATAGATGAGGGTTATTAGATAATATACTCAGGTAAGTCTAATACAAAAAATGGTGTATGGATAATAATGGATGAGGAGATGAAATGTATAGTAGTAGAAGTAGATAGGAAAAGCGACAGAATTAGTGTAAAAGTGCTAAATGTAATAAGTGCTTATGCACCACAAGTAAGATGTGATGAAATAGACAAGGAAGTGTTTTGGAAAGAGATGGATGAGATGATGCAAGAAATACCTGGTAATGAGGTTACGATGATAGGTGGAAATATAAATGGACATATAGGTAATGAGAGGAGAGGATATGAAAGAGTACATGGAGGGTATGGTTTTAGTGGGAAAAATGAGGCTGGAGAAAGAATTCTGGAATTTACAGTATCGTATGATCTTGAGTTTTTAAAAATAGTAGAAAAATGGAATAGATTTGCAAGTTGTGTAAAGAATACTGCTAAGGAGATAGTTGATGAGAGAAGGAATAGAATGTAAGGAAACAAGGATACCTGATGATGGGATGAGAACGTTCAGAAAAACAAGAAAAATCAGTTCAAAGTATGGTAAAAGAACAAAAGAGGATAGAAGATTGGTTGGAGTATAAATACTTGTGTAAAGAAGCCTATAGACTTGCAAAAAAGAAAAACAGTCTAAAGATTATTACAACGCAAGGTGCATAAAAAGGGATAAGAAGGTGCTAACAAGTGATAATGATGTGAATAAAAGGTGGAAAGAATATTTTGATAAATTACTGAATGAGGAGTATCTAAATGAGACATTAGAGGATATCTCATGGAATGGTAGATTTAATTAGTGATAAAAATGTATGGAAAGCTGTGGCTTTGTTGAAAAAGGATAAAACAATAGGACCTGGTAAAGTTCTAGTGAAAAATATTAGGTGGTATTGACATAAGATGGTTGAAGGATATAATAATAATTATTAAAGGATTTAATAAGCAAATAATAGACTACCGAGAGGAGTTTTAAAGTGTGCATTAATGGGAAAAGGAGTCCTACAAAGGTATAATAATATAATAGAGGATATGTATTGTTACTTATACCAGGGTAAAAATAAACAAGAAATAATTTTTTTTACATCATTTTGGTCCCAACTCAAAAAAGAAAGTAATAAAAAATATTTATTGAATTAAAAGTTGAATCACAGTTATAACTTAACAATAATAATAATAAATATAAAACAACAATAATTGTATTAATGTACACAATATTTATAAACAAATGAATTTTAATTTTTAATTTAGTAGAGTATGTTAACTTGCCAACAAATATTTATGTATTACTTTATTTTTTCTATAAATGAAGTAGAATAAGTCAAAATAATGTTTTTAATGAAAGTTTTACTTTAAATAGAGAAAAATAAATCATCAAAATCTGATTTATTACACTAACATTTTAATTAACAAAGCATTGGAAGAATTATTATCAAGAGTCATTTCAGACTTCCAAATACAAAGATTAATTTTTAAATGACATTGAAAATCAGTATTGTGGAATCTTACTAGAATACTAATTCTACTTTAAAATGTTTTTTATTATTATTTTATAATAATAATTTTTTATTATTTAAATTAAATCTTTTATAGAGGGTTTAATGTATGTTCTAATTGAAAATAGCGTAACAAGTGTTAAATTTTTACTACTAATAAGAATTTTATAACTATCAATGTAATAAAATTGAAGTAAATATAATCTTTTTCATACTTGGCCAACACGTCCTGAATGTTTTAATATTATTCCACCACTTGATGATGAAGCAGCTGTTCTTCCTAAATTATCAATACAAACACAACCTACAGTATCTAACCTTGACTTATTCTAAAAAACAATTAGTAATTATTTATAATTTTAAAATTAAATTCTAAGTTTAACAATATTACCATAGGGATATCAATATTATCTTTCATGACTTTGTATTTGTTGTATACAAATTGTTTTTTTGATTTATCTAAATAAAAATTAAAAAATGATTAATGAATATTAAATGTACAATTAACAGAATTAATAAGTTAAAAAATTAAAATACAAAATAAAAAAAACGCAGAAAATATAAAAAATATACAATGATATTAATAATAGATTTGTTATAATATAAAAAATATACATACATACAGTTATGATCAATGTAAAATTATGGTAAATATAGTTTAAGATCAACAAATTAGTATAAGATGATCTTTTTTAAGTAGAAACCGTGTTACTGATTAATTATTAAATTTGAAAACTTACAATTACGTTTAGATTTTAATAATTTATCTAACATTTTTTGAAATTGTACTAGGTTTGGAAATAGGTCTATAATTATTAATTAATAAATGGCCACCCAATTTAATATTGGTTAAAAACAAGATTTTTATTAATCAGGAAAAACTTCAAAGAATAATAGTAAGTTAAACAATAATTATAAAAAACAAGAAAGTATATAACGATAATTAAATAAAATTACACGAGGAATCAAATCAGAACTACAAAAAGAATTAATATTAAATAAAGTTCCCTTGAAAAATGTCTGCAATAGTAATGAAAACATTACATAAACAAACTTCATTTTGTAAATTATAACTAAAAAATATTAAAAAAAAATATTTATATCAGAATCAGTCAAGAATGCAGAAGAAAAGAATTGAACAAATAAATTGGAAGTACGTTGTTCATTATTGAAAAACAAATCATTGAATACAGTAAGATGCTAACTGTCAGTGGTGCCCTAGGGTAATCATATATTTGGCACCTTTATTTTATATTTTTAATAAAATACATTGTATGCAAAAAAAAAAAAAAAAGGTATTTATATTATTTAGTGCCCTAAGTAACTTACCCCCATTACTCTTCCAATACCATAGCATGACCCTGATTGAATGTCATATTAGTGGAAAAGCAATACAAATTTTATCTTAATTTTATGTCTTTTTAAAAATCAAAACTTTTTTAGTTTATTTAATAATGAATTTTGTGTTTTTAACATGTAATTACCATAACATTGCTTAAATAAATGTTTACATTGACAATGTAATTCTGAACATTTCATATAATCGAGTAATATATACTAAGATTTGACTAATTTAGAATCACACTACTTATAAATGTTTCACTATTACATTTGAATGTATGTACTGCAAATAAAATTTATGATCTCTAAAACTATAGAAAATAGGGTTAGAGTAAATAATAGATATTTATGGCAAATTATATAAAAGTCGAAATAAAAAGAAGTAATTTTCATAAAATTTATTAAAATTTTGAAATGTTTTAAACATGTATTTAATTTTATTATACCTGTTATCAATTCATGAGGATCAACAATAGCAATATTGTTAGCTTTTGCAAAATCATAAGCTCCTTGACCTACTAATAAACTATACCTAAATTATTACATTTTGTACAAAAATGAATATTTTTTAAACAAATACCAAGGAGGAATTCTACCAAAAGACAATTGCATATTTTGCTTTTCACATATAAGTTTTGCCAGTTTTATAGGATTTTTTACTCCGGAAACAGCTCCAATACCTCCAAAATGCATGGATTTTCCATCCATTATACTGGCATCACATTCAACAGTACCATTCCAAGTTAAATTGGATCCATAACCTGCATTTGTTATTGGAGAATCTTCTAATACAGAAGTAGCTAATGTGACAGCTTCTAAAGCTGATCCATTATTTGCTATAACTTCTAATCCCTTAAAAAAAATTAAGTAAGAAGAATACAATTAAATAATTTGTTACTAAAATTACTTTGTTGCAGGCTTTTTTACAAAGTTTTTTATACTTGACTTCATTGGCTGGTTTGAGATATCCTGCCCCTTTAAATATATTTTTTTGTATTAATAGTAGCATTATATAAACTTTAAATAATATATTTACATACCAGCATGTACAGCAATTACATATTTCATATTTATTAGAAACACGCCTGATTTTAAGAAGTTAATTTATTTTACTATAGTACCGATTCAAAATAATATAACATTTCGATACTTAATTAACAAGTTATCAATTATGTAACGATATTTACTAGAAAATACTATTGAGTACGAATGATCAAATTATGCTTTTTATGAAATTTTACACAACAAAATATAATAAGTCATCCATGAAATATCTTCTTAAGAAGCAACACATGATTGCTTCAACATAATACACGTAAAAGCCTATCGTACCTAATCTATTCATTTATACATCTTTTATAAACATATAAATATAGAGAACTATAATAGATCTCTTATTTGATTGACTAATTTAGAGAGAAAAATAATTTGACTAATTATCTATGATTTCTGTACCAAGTTATACATTAACTTTTTGTTAGGTTAAGTTAAATATATGAAATTGTTGCATGTACCTTAAATTTTTATCTCTAATCATTAAACTAAATGGTTGAAAGAAATCTACAAATTAAAATTATTTTGAATTGAATTTATTCCATAATTTCATAAGAATAATTTTTCCTGGCATTGCTAGTTTTCGAAATTATAATATTACGTTATCAGAATATCATATCTCTCTATATACTATTTTACTAATACTATGGTACTATTTTTTATTAGGTCTGTATTAATCTTGACCTTGGATAAGTATTACCGTTAAAGTTAAATATATGAAAATTGATAAATTTAAATCCGTATGTTATATATGAATATTCCATTACTATATATATAGACTGATGTATTCAAAATAAGTGATTGTTCACATTTAAAGTACGTCAGAATGATATAACATTCTCAGAGTTAAAAGAAATTGCTATTGCTTCTCACAATTAACTACGAATTATGTTCAAGTTCACAAATGGGAATGAATGAATGAGAACTAGCAATTTCCTGTAATTGTCCTACTAATTAATTACTGAATATTAAGTACAATTCATAAGTTATTAAGGTAATGTTAACGTTCTTATGATGTGGTGAAGTTGGTGACTTTTTTTCTTAGAAATATTTTTTTTTAAATAGTTACAGAAATTAAATCATAATACAAGTATTAAATTATTATTATTTTATTATTCATAAATAAGAATAAGTTATGTTGCATTACATATATCTTATATTCAATACCCTTTGACTTATATATACTATTTTTTATTTTCTTTTACCTTATAGCTGACTTGAAGTTACATAAATTATTACTGTAGTTTCTTGATAAAATTTAACAATGAAAATGGTTTATATTTAAGTGTCTTTATTTATGGAGAGTTAGGTTGAGATTATTTTTCATATTATTAGACAATAAATCTTGATATAAAAATTGTGACTCAAAAAAATATCGAAAATTTCATATTACACTAATACTTTATTTAATTTTTTTAAATAAAAATCAATAATATTTTTTTTAACTAAAATAAAATAGTAACGTACATTCTCATTTAACCTCATCACTGAACTATGTAATATTCAAAATCTATGTGATTAATAATGTTTGAAAAATATCACAATTTTATTTATTTGAAAATTATAAAAGAATTCATTAATTATATTTGCCTTGAAAGTTACTGATATAGAAAAACGTAAGTTTTTGAAAAATAGGTGTATAGAAACAATTTTTTTTTTTTTAATTCATTAGATATTTATTTATTATTTCACAAATTAATTTTTTTCACAAAAAATTAACTTTTTGAACTTACAGGAATACTGACACTTTTATATATATCTTAAATTAAAGCTTATGTAATATATTTTAAAATGTAAAAAAAAAAATTTGAACTTCATATTCATGGTAAAAATGCCTACCATATTGAAAAACATGATATAATTCTCGTTTTTATATTTTATTTTATTTTAATATACTTTATAAAGGATTTTGAATTAGAAAAAATTTTTTAACTCATTTAGATTTAATAACTTCAATGAATATCAAGGTATATATGTGGTTAGACACCAAATTTGTTTATTGTTCTTAGCAAATACCCAATAATTACTTTAAAGTAAATAATTCTCTATTATTTAATAATAAAAATATTACAATTATGGTATTTATGTTTAATGTCCTCTTATAAAAATTATTGTTTGTACTAGTAAGAAGTCAGGAAAAATTGCATAGCACAGTGCAACAAAAATGAACACTAGTACAATCACAAGTAATGACCTGTCAAACTGTGATGTGTAAATTGCTTTATATAATATATTATAATGCATAAATCTTATCATAATGTATGAATATTTTTTGTTTAAGATTTTAACATTTATTAGTCCTTTAAAAATTAGAAAGAAATCTTTTCAATAAAATATCCAAAAAAGTTAAATTTGACACAGTATTTATTCTAAAATAAAAAAAAAGAAGGGAGATAAAAAAAAATATTTTAATCTTATTATGATTTTTATACTAAAAAATAAAACATGAAGTCACTCATATTTCTTAAACTTTATGCTTGAGAAAACTCATAAGAAAGTTGTATTGAAGTATTAGGTTTTTCATCACATTGTGTGCATATTATATAGAACTAACTTTTAGTTTCCTTTTTTATTTTTTAATATTGATTTATCAATATGTTTGAATAATATAATTTTAATTATGTGTAAATTATAACTCAAGTTAAGTTATTCTATACTATCAAATTAAAATTTATCCATTGAGAATTTTACAATTTTTTTTTGTTCTAATAGATTTCTGCATATTCAAGAATTAAAAAAAAAAATGGATTATATTAAAAATGGACTTTTTGTGACTAAAAATACCATCAACAATATGTTTGGACATTGTGAATCATGGCAAGTAGCTTCAATTACAGCTACGAGTGTATTAACTTCTATATGGATTTGGAATTTTATAATTCAAGATGAGAGCAAGTATTTTATTATTTATGTATATTGATGTAAGTATATCATTGATTCAATATAAATGTATGTTTAATCAATGGTATGGTAAACAATTTGGAACACCAATAAAATAGAATTTATATTTAAAGATATAAACAATTTTTTTTAATTTTTGAGGAATAAAGTTTTTTAGTCTAATAGTAGAATAAGTTTTCCAAATTATACTTATTTTTTTTTTTATGAAATATTTATACCAAATTTCTTTTATTTTAATTTAAAAATTCATTTTAGGCTTGTATGAAAGATCTAAAAAATTTATTTTTACTCAAGTTAAGAAAATCCCTAAAATTGCCAAGCGAATACATGATGAAACCAAACAAATATCAGAAGCATTTGAAAATGATATGATGGAAAACACTAAAAATGAAAAATATATTGTTAAGTTACCAGGAAAAGGGTTATCTCGTGAGGATCTTATTGAAACTGTTAACAGATATTTAAATCTTGGTAATAACATATTTTATAAATTTCTTGTATTGTACTTTTAAATTTTAATATATTTTAGGAAAATACAAGTGGAAAGAAGGTTACATTTCTGGTGCAGTATATTATTATGATGAAAAATTAATAGAATTACTTACTGAAGTATATGGTTTAGCATCATATACAAATCCATTACACTCTGATATTTTTCCTGGGATTTGTAAAATGGAAGCTGAAGTTGTCCGCATTGTTAGTGATCTTTTTCATGGAGGACCAAATGTTTGTGGAACGGTATGGTAACATAAATTGTTATAATTTTAAGAGTTATACTATTTGTACTTAATTTACTAAAGATGACTAGTGGTGGAACTGAATCAATTATAATGGCATGTAAAGCTTATAGAGATTATAGTAGAAACAAATGGGGAATCAGAAATGGTGTCATATTAGCTCCAAAATCAGCACATCCTGCTTTTGATAAAGCTGCTTCATATTTTGGTCTCAGAGTTCATCATATCGATTTAGATCCTGATTATTTTACAGTTGATTTGAAAAAAATGGAAAAAGCCATATCAAAAAATACAATTTTGGTAATTTAATAAATAAACTAATAACATTGTTTTATATAACTTTCTTGAAAATTTTTAACATTATTTAAATTTTTTTAGTTAGTTGGATCGTTTCCTAATTTTCCATATGGCACGTCTGATGATATTGAAGCAATATCAAATCTGGGATTAAAGTATAAAATTCCAGTTCATGTTGATTGTTGCTTAGGTGGATTCATTGCTGCTTTCATGCCATTAGCAGGTTATCACTTGCCTTCATTTGATTTTATATTACCTGGAGTTACTAGCATATCGGCTGATACCCATAAGGTATAAATTATATGAAATAGTAAAAGAAATATTTAATAAGAATATAAACTCAAATTTTCAAGCCTATTAATACAAATTTGTACTGGCTGATGTGTTTGGAATAACTTAACAATATAATAGTGCATGTATATATCTACTCTCTAATTATTATATAAAAACAATATTTTTTTAAATCTTTAAACATTTTAAAATTCAATGAATTAAAACAATGTTTGATTAATTAAAAAATGTGTCGTTTCAACTATTTCATCATAGAAAATTATTTTTCATTTGTAATATTTTTTAGTATGGTTATTCTCCTAAAGGTTCATCTGTTATATTGTATTCAGACAAAAAATTCAGACATAATCAATACTATGTATGTACTGAATGGCCAGGTGGGCATTATGGTTCGCCTACAATAAGTGGTTCAAGATCAGGAGGTATTTCACTTTTATAATTATATTTTAACCTAAATTGTAATTAAGAGAATTTAGTAGTAAAGTAGTTTCAATTTAGTTAGTTTTCCTTTACCTTATGTATAAATTAACTATTAAATTTGTTATTAAAAATTTTAAATGAATTCTGCAATAAACTTTTACAGAACAATGTCTTTAAATGATGATGGTTGTACAATTATACTTATGAAAACAATTTATTAAAAAATATATTTTTTTAATTTAATTGTAATGTTAAATCATATTTTTCTTTAATTTATTTTATGATGCAATAATATTGAACAAACTACTTTATATTTTATAAATTACATTATAGGTGATACATCTCATCAGTTAATATTTAACGGTAAAAATACAATTTTTCATTAGGAGGAGGTATAGAAAAAATATATATCTTCATGACAAAATTTAATTATATCACAGTATTGCCTTCATCCCTCTATTCTCAGTTTTATATATTTATGTAATTTCACTTTTACATAATAGAAACATTCATCTTTGATGAGAACTATCCTAAAATCAATATCCGAAGTGTTATATCATTAAAAAATAAAAAACAATAATTAATTGCTTAAAATATTTTCATTTAAATTACTTTTTTAGGTAGTCTCCATTTAATCTATACATTTTATGTAACATATGACGAGTTTCTGTATGACTTCTCTAAAATATAATGCCACCAGTATTTTGAGCTATTGATTTACTCCTTTCATAAGTTCCTCAATACTTACAAACTGTTGAGGTACAATAGATCACTTATTGCCATGTAAGGATTGTGGGGGGTGTTCAAAAATATCCCAGCTGACTTCAATTAAAGTTTTTGTGCATGTAGCAGTGTGTGGTTGTGTTATTATGCAGAACTACCATACCTTTTGTAAGTATTCCTCGTCTTATGTTTTGGATTTTTCTTTTCAGCTTAAATAGAGTTTCAAAGTATACCAATGCAGTTATTGTGGTACCAGGTTCTATTAATTCAGTCAACAATATATCTACTGTTCCAGAAAACTGGCCATCATTTTTCAGTTAAAAAAAGATCATTTGAATTTTTTGGCTTGTTTGGGGATTTAGTATTGTGCATACATTGCTTTGACTGTTCTTTAGTTTCTGGGTTCATGTACTGGACTCAGTTTTTTAATTCAGGAATTCGAGTTTCTTTTGCTTGCAAGACACTTTGCATTTTAAAGCAGTAGTTAACAAAATTGGATTTTCCTTATCGTAATTGAAAACAGTAGAAAATATTGAACAAAAACAGTAAAACTCGGCATAGTATACAAAAATAATTTAACGGTTATAACAAGTAGCAAAATATAAATAAAGTGTTCGTATGTAGTGAGTTATAATACTTTGGAGGTTGGTTTTGAGATAGCACTCGTAGTATTAATAAACTTCTCCATGATGCTGCATTAATGCCAAACATTATGATAATTAGATGTTATTAGTATAAGACTTAGAGTATTTGTTGGTAATATAAAAAATATAAACAGGTATAACATATAAAGTAAATTCCGTTTTAACTATTTATAGTTATCAACATATCTAGTTAGCAAATCTCTTGTATCCTTATAAATTTAATTAGCATTTATGATAGATTTTTTTTTAGGAATTATTGCAGCTTGTTGGGCTACATTAATGCATTTTGGCTTAGAAGGTTATATTTCGTCAACAAAAGAAATTATTAAAACTAAAATGTTTGTTGAAAATGAGTAAGTTAATTAAACTAAGAATATTTTAGCTTAAAGTTTACATTATAGTTCAATATAATTTACTCATGAATTATTTTAAGGGTAACTTCTAAGACATTCATTGAGATTTTTTAAACTAAGTTTGTTATCTAAATTCATGTTATTATTAATTAGACTTCATAATTTATTTGAATACAATATTCAGATAGTTAGTATTCTGTTTAACTTAAAAACAGTGTGAATATCTATTATTTTTATTTGTTATACCAAAATTATTTTTTAGTAAATTTAATAATATTACTTTTAGATTACGTAAAATAAAAGATATCTTTATATTTGGTAATCCAACTACGAGTGTTATAGCTATTGGATCAAAGTCATTTAATATTTATCGTCTATCTGATGCAATGAATTCAAGAGGATGGAATTTAAATATGTTGCAGTTTCCCATTGGGTATTTTTGAATTTTATTATTGATCTTAAATTAACAATACTGTAATTAATAAATAATAGTTTTTTTGGTAATTAAGCAGATATCAGACTACAAAACTGTAAAATTAACAGAGGTATAGATATATACAAACATATTATAAATGTGTCATTAATCCTTTTAGAGGGTATACATTTAAACTAAATATAAATATGTAAATTTTAAAGTGTTTTTAATATTTTATCCTGAAATTTTTAACATCAAAATATCATTCTCAGTGTTTCTATTTTATTCTATCCATGTTATTTANTAACATCAAAATATCATTCTCAGTGTTTCTATTTTATTCTATCCATGTTATTTACTTGAAAAAAAAAATGAATATTATACCATGTTGTTTAGATAGCAAAAACTTCTTTCTTCATCATTATAAAATAAAAGAAAAATAGCATTACTGAAGATATGACATTATCCAGCAGGTTTTTATACAATAATATAACAATGATTGTTACTTTTATTTCATACTGTAAAATGTACAAAAATAATACATATTTCTGTTATAAAAAAAAAAAACCAATAATATATTGATTATATAATAGTCTAATAAAAGCCCTTTTTAGAAGAAAATTTCTTAATAATATTCAATAATTAACTTATACATGTGGTTACATGTATATCAGGAGTATATCACAGTAAAGTAGATATTTTAATAATTAGATTAAGTTAACAATGGAAGTAATTAACAGTTTTTCTCTAGCAAATATAACTTATGCTATAATTTGTATATTTATGATGATTTTCTTTTCTTTTTATAGAATTCATATATGTATAACACACCTTCATACAAAACCTGGAGTTGCCTCTTTATTCATAGAAGACTTTAAAAAAGAATTACATGAAATAATAAATAATCCTCATGTAGAACAATCTAGAAAAGTAAATTTGAATTACATAAAAAAAATGTATCATCATTAAATGAAAACTATCAATTTTCAGATAGCTATGTATGGTATGTCAGCTACGTTGCCAGATAGGACTATAGTAGGTGACATCACAAGATATTTTATTGATGCTATGTATTATATTCCTTCATAGTTAATGTATCATTTTCTATTATAATATCAGTTTTTCATTGTTTAGTTTTAAAGACGAATAAATGAATATATTTTGGTATTTACGTTATATTAACATGAACTTTTTGTGTAATTATATAAGACACTACAATATTACTAATTACTTTCATATTCCATTTTGGGTAAACAGAATAACTTAATTACATTTAAAGTGTTAAAATTGATTCTGCAAAAAAATCTATTTACTTTTTTTTTTCAAGAAAGGCAAAAAATATAATATTTAAGATGTATTTTGTTAAATTTTAATTATTACCATACATTTATAAATTACATGTTATTGTTTTGTTGTGGAAGTTTTCTTTTTTTGTAGTTAGTATTTTAAATATGTCATTAATTGTACTAATAATTATTGCATCAAAACTAACATTCTTTTTATATGTAGCAAAAAAAAAATACATATTCGACACCTTCTTTGAAAAATAAATATTTTGAAATTGATCATTTCTAAATATTTTTTTGTGCATGATACTTCAGACGTTAAAAAAAGTTATGAATTCAACTTAGACATTTAAAGTAGATTTATCTTATAGTATTGAAGTACTACATGAAAAGTTAAATTTATGGAAATAATTTTAGAAAAACATTTCAGAAAAAATTGATCCTTCAATAAAAGCATTTAAGTATACATCTATGTTCCCTAAATCAAAGGTTTTTTTTAACAATTCTTAATGTCATGCCTACCACAAGAGCAAATCCTGAAAATTCATTTAGTTATTTAAAAATAGTTAAAATTTGCTTCCAATTTACAATGAACCAGGAAAAGTTTAATGGCTTAGCAATATTATACATAAATAGAGATTGTAAACTGTAACTAGAAAAAATTATTTATTAATCTGTTACACAACAGATAATTTGTATTAATATTATTTGTTCATAACTATTATAATTTTGTTAGAAAAAATATAAATAATAGATAAATTAATCAATTGGTACCTTATACTTATTCCACATAACATTGAAGTCATAATGTACAGACTCAAATGCTTACTCACTATGTACCGATAAACAATTCGATTTTAATTATATTTATTCTTTGGTCGCCATATCTAGCGATCAACGGCAAAAATAATGAGTGTTGACATGAAAAAGTGACGTGACGTGTCTTAGAAAACGTTTCATTCGAGCATTCTCTTTCGCCATAAAAAAAACAGATAAACAATAAAAATTATAAATGGTCCACTTTCAAATTTGTAACGTTACATTATTATAATTATAATTTATTATTTAATTATTGTAAATAAAAACGTATTACGCGCATTAATATTCAAAGTTTGGAAGTTCGTCTGCAACATATAAATAAATTAATAAAATCTATTTCAACATTTAGGATATAAATTTATTGTTCTAATAATTTTTATGTCTAAGTGTTATAGAAATAGCTTTTTTACTAATAATATTTTTACGTAAACATTTAGTTCTATAAATTAAGCTCTATAAATTTTTCTGTTGATAGCACAGTTTGTAATTTAGGTGACGTAAATCGAAAAATCACACAGTGAAATTTTCAATCTTCTTGCAGCACATGTTAGCGTCATTCGATTTCAACTAAATTTTGTATAAGTTATTTTTTCATTTAATGAAACAATTCTAGAGGGTGTATTGAATGGATTTAACAACATCATTTTTAAAAACCCCTCTGTTGTAATCCCTCACTTTAAAATTGGTGTGAAATAATTAAATACTTCGTTCCACCTAATAATATTAACAGTAATTATTAAAAATAATTTAGTTTAAATTAAACAATTTTAATTATAAAATAGTTACAAGTATTTAATAATTTCAAAATAAAAATAAAATCACATTGTAAAGTACAAGTCACAGTAAACATTTTAAATTACTACTACAAAATTTAGTCTATTATAAAAATATTTAAGTAACATTAATAAAATTTAAAAAACTAAAATATTACGAGATTAATTAATCCATTAAAAATAAAAAATCTATTTATCTTAATGTCATTTTAGTTTAATCTTGAATTTACTTTTTGTCTTTTTTTTTAATACAACAATATAATATTACTGCGTGTTATTCTTTTAGTTAAAATTTGTGAAATCCATCTTCAGTTTGATTGATGGTTGCATTGATTTATTCAAGTTTTGTGATGTTTGAGAGTTGGAATTATAATGTTGTTGCATAGTTTTATTAGATTTTATAGAATTTTCTAATTTAATTCGAAGTTTGTTATTTTGTGATATAATTAATTTAAATTCCTGTAACAAAACATTTTTTTATAAGATGTAATTTATTGATTTTAATATAATATTAATGAAACCTTTAAGAAATCTATTAATATTACTAATTAAGTTGAAAAAAATCTTTAAACAATTTTAATTAAATATATATATATAATAAAAGACACATCATAGTAAAATTAAAATCTTCTTAGCTTCGCATTGAAGCAAATATAACACAATTTTTTAAGGAAATATTTACTAAAATTTCATGATGTATAAATTATAAAAATTCGCCAGTCTCATTCTACATAAAAAAAAAATGCACAGTCTATAAAAAATTATGAAAATTTCAGTAAACCGTCAAATCGGGTAATTGTCTTTATTGTCTATGTGGGTTTCACTCTGAAGAGATTCACCTACAACCGTGATCAGCGTTACCACTAGGTGCTATTTTCCGGGTACGGAGGATCAGTGAGCGAGGAGCGACAAGTCGGTCCATGGTCACCGTGTATTCAAACGGAACACCAGCGTCGGACAACCAAGTTATTCGTACCGTTTGCCTCTGGTTTGCACCAATCTCGGGCACCCTGCTAGGGCCGCGGCAACTATCCAAGCCACTACGTATTATGGCATACGTAACCTCCAATGTATCTCCCCACTGGGAAAGGCCGGTAGGCGCCAAGGACAGACCAATGACCCGTCTCTCAGCTGCTTTCCCTGAGGCCATAGCCATAAGCCACAAAGTCACTCCAGTGACAGCCACCGCGGATCCAAGCCCCACTGTTATCCGAGCGGTAAACCAGTCTGATAACGAGTGTCGGGACGGCAGACGATGACTAGGCCATCAACTGGGACGCCCGTCCCGCCTGTGGTACGGAAAACCTCCGTGGGATTTTCGGCTATGCGTCATCGACTTCATCTCATCAAAATGGGTCAGAGAGGTTAGAGTTAATGAATTGTGAAATTAAATTTGTAAATAACTGTTCAAAGATCTCAAAAGTTACAAACATTTTTTAACATTACCTAAGAGGGAATGTAAACAGTATTATTAACATTTACTAATGATAAAGCAAAAAAAAAAAAGACACGAAAAAGCATTGTTCAAAAATTTATAGCACAAGCCCAAAAAATTTGATTTATGACACATGAAGGAAACATAACATATATAACAAATATATGGTAGTCACATAATGGCGTAAATAACATATGTTTGAATAATACTGTATTTCCGAAACATTTTCAAAAATTAAGTTGTGGGTAGGTTTAAAAAATGTCGAAATTTATCGATTCATAAAATCGTAATTTTTTGGCAGATTTCTTACATTTACAGGAAACGATCGAAATTTTTTCTATTTTCGAGGTAATGTCATTAACTAGATACGATTTGTGATATTTGACATACCTTTAAAAGAAAACGATCGGGCGAGAGCTGAGATGAAGTGGCGATAGACAAAAAAAAAAGATTAGAGGAGATTGGGGTACATTTGNATACGATTTGTGATATTTGACATACCTTTAAAAGAAAACGATCGGGCGAGAGCTGAGATGAAGTGGCGATAGACAAAAAAAAAGATTAGAGGAGATTGGGGCACATTTTAATGCGGGGTAGATTTGAATTGATTAAATAAAATTAGCTGTAGTGATGAAGTAAATTCAAGTAAAATACAGAAGGTTAGTCATACGGTACCCAATATATGATATGTCATCAGCTATCTGTTATTAATATTTTCATAACTATAAATAAAACTGTATTTTTGAATTTTTTGTTACCGTTTTATTACTATCTTAATAAGAGTTTGAGAAAAAAACAAAAACATTCAGTAAGTATTTAACAAAACATACTAAATTAAAATATTAAATCTTTTAAATGGGATATTATGGAATGTGATGTTGTATTTCAATGTACAATTTTTGATAAATTTGTTGAAACATGTTCTATGGAGTACAATTGAATATTCCAAAGTGGGGTAGATTTGAATTGGTTTTTAACATTATAATGATCTCATAAAGTGTATTTTATTTTAAAAAAATGGTAAGAAATTATGTTAAAAAAAGGACAGTAAATGTTGAATTTATTTATCTATAAGATATTAAAAATTTGTTAATTTTCTGTTTACAAGTAGGTAGGTAACTATCTACTTTTAATTTTTCTAGAGAAACTGTTGTTTTATATTATAAAGTACCTACTAAGAAAATGTATTAAAATAATATACTTTTACTTATTGGTAATTTTATGTGTGTTAATTTTTCAATATAAAGACTCATTCAAATGTGCCCCACATGGATTCAAATGTACCCCTACCAAGGGGGACATTTGAATAAAAAGTAACTTTTTATTATGCGTTTAACATTTTATAATAAAATATTATTCAATGATTTAGATTTTTAATAGTTACAGTGTGATGTTAAAATATTATGAGAATCTAACAGGACCATTATACTTCAAATTAAATGCAAAAAAAAAAAAAAATGAAATATCAAAATGTAATTTTTATTCAAATCTGCCCCAGTCTCCCTTACAGTATAATTAATATATTCTCAGCTTTTCATTGAAGATAAAATGTTTATATGATTTTTATCCCCAACCTGAGTAACTGGTTAATGATTTAATTTAAATGAATGTCGTCTGTAAGGTGAATATCTCAAGTAAAAGTAAGTATTTCGTAATAATCCTTCTAGTTCTCAAAAATATATTACAATACAATGTGAAAACTAAAAATATCAACATTGATTGTTTTATAATATTTACCTTTATTATGAGACCGAGAGAAATTTATAAAGATTATGGCGCTCTTGGCTTTAACTTAAGAGTTTTGTGATCTTTTGATATGTCGTTGAATAAAATTGGTTCAAGTAATAACAGAGTAATGTTTACTAACAAAATAACAATGTATAAGCAATAGCGTTTCAGATACAATCTATGCCAAAAAGTTAATAAATATTTTGATTTAAAAGAATCAATATTAGAGTAGTCATAATTCTTTTTTATGATGGTATTAACAGTTTTTATTTATATTGAACACTTGAATTAGAAATATTTTAGTATAATTTTAAATTTAATGCTAATTATTCTTACCTGGGGATAAAGAGGACCGATTTTAAGTAAACATTGTATACTAAATTCATGTAATTTAAATTGGTTTTTAGTAGATGAATTATATTTTAAACATTCTGAATCGACTAAATAATTAATTAGAACTGGTACTAATAATGTTAACATTTGAATTCCTATAATTTAAAAATATGGAATTATATAAATACCCAACACAAAAATTATAGTGGAAGAATTGAAATAAATTTATATATTTTTCACCATTCTTTGATTTTTGATATAGTTAAACCAAATTTTAAAGAACGTAAATATTTTTCTAAGAAAAATCAAGTTTAGCCTTCATTTAATAATTATATACTTTTTTATTTATTAGTTTAACTACAACAAAAGTCAAAAAAATTAAATATTATTATTAATTTTTATATTTTTGGAATAACTTAATACATACTATGTTTAGAAGGAGCTAATTGAACTAAGCTCTCTAAACAACTAATTGATTCACAAATTAAAACAAATTGATGTTCTAATAAAGGTGTTGAAATTTTTTCAAGCAATAATTCAACAACACGTGGTGCTAATGCTTGAATATAACCAGTTCCAATATATTTATCTTTATGTTCATATACAGCCTTAAGAAATTGAATACAATTAATCTTCACCTAAAAAATTGTCATACATAAACATAAATTTGTTAATTATAAATAAAAAACAAATGAAAAATGTTTAATAATAATTAAAAATGAGTTAAATAAAACTTAATTTTGCTTTTCAATGTGTAATATTTTTAAGTATAAATATATATGCACTTAATCAAAGTAATAAAATATACATAAAACATATTTGTATTACAAATACATTCTCTTGGTAGTAATGCAGTAACTAATATTATTAAAAATTAATATGACATTAACATTATTAAGTAGTTTTAATTTATACTTAAAAAAGTAACACAAACAAAAAGATACAAGAATTTTAGCTCAAATTTTATTAACATTTAATCATAATAAATAGTAAAAATGTTTACGAGGTGTAATCTGAAATTTGATCATCATATTAGGTAAAAATATTTAATATAATTTTAATTTTAACTGATATATGTTATGTTAAAGTTAAAACTTCTCTAAACTAACTAATATTTATACAATAAAAAGAAAAACATATATTTACTTGAATACTATCACTTCTAATGCATTGTAAACAATAATTAATGCAAGGGTATAAAATATTTTGAGCATTCATGACATCAGGAGGAGAATGTAGTGTAAATATAGAAATGATTGACATCATTGTTTTTTCATTAATTTTTTTTTCTTTGTCGCCTGTAAAAACATAATTATTAACATGAATGGTATTGTAATGAATTTATGTAACCACATTAGTTTAAATTATACAGCCAATATTGATATATCAATTTTTTAAATTATTGATTTGAGAGATTTGAAATAGACTTAAGAAATATGAATTTTGATTTAGTATATATATATATCTTTATATATTAACTAAATATATTAATACATAATATAAATGAAATGAGTACAAGTCATAGCCAATAATATCATCAACATTAAGCCTAAAACTCATATAAAAATGTATAAAATAAGTTAGTTTTTTCTCATTATAGAATTGTAATTCAATAATAGAAAAGGGCAATTAATTGTTGACAGTTTAAAAAAGAGTGTTTTTTAGTTAGTTTTTCATCTTTTGTTTCATTAATACACCTTATCCTTACCCAGAGGGTTAACAATTTCAGAAAAATTGAGTATTGTTAATTTTAGGAATTTTTTACAAAATCAATTTGTTGTATAAAAAATAATGAAATTTATAAATTCTTATTTCAATACCAGTTTTTGACATGTCAATTAGCTTAGCAACTGTACTCTGTAATAATGATCTCCATTGACTCGCAGTAGTTTCATTATAACCAAATGGATGTTTACAAATTTCATAAAATACATCTAACACAGCTGAAACTGATACTTCATGTTTAGAAGTTTCATTGGTAGTCTCTTCAACTTCTTTTAAAATATTCGTTGTGAGGTATGCAATTGTAGGAAGAATTTGAACACCTCCTAAAATACATAACAATATTTAACTATATAATAAAAATTGATCACTTGTCGCTAATACTATTTAAAATTAAAACAATATTAAAAATACTATTAATTTAAAACTAAAAAATATTTAACACAAAAGTCACAAAAAAATTACTTAAAATTTACAGATACATATTTTGGAAACAATGTTACCATTATTAACCCAACAAAAAAAATTCTATGTATGTGTTCAGCTTCCAAAATATATTTTTTAGTAATTTTTTGTGGTTTTTTGATTTTAATATTTTCAATATAATCTAAATTTTTAATTAATATTTCACTAGCATCTCTTAGTAATTTATTTTCTTACCTTTAGGTGAACAAAGTGATGGTAGTTGAGCCATTATTTTTAGTGTTGTAGCAATAATTTTGTGATTTATATTATTAGTATGTAATTTTCTAGTAGAATTTGTAACAATAGGAGTTGGATTCAAATCTGGTATCTGTCGAACAATAAGACACAAACAAACTTCAAGAGTAGCAAATACTATACATTTTTTATGTTTTATGATTCCATCATTGCTCCCATCATCCCAAAAAACTTCTTGTTTAATTGCAGAATCTAGATTTTTTTTTAAATTTGCACGAATAATAAATTAGTAAATATAGTTGGTTTTAACACCAAAAAGGTTACAGCAAAAAGAACTATCTAGTTCAAAGTAATAATATTTTAAAGGTATTGTTGATTGTACAATGGTTGAGATTACACCAATAAGAAGGTTTAATGACATAATTTATAATTTATATACTTTAAAACTTTTTATGAATTGGGTAATAAATCTGTATATGTTTGTAAATGAAAATTTATTTCAATAATGTAACTTTTATAAGTTTTTTTAAACTAAGACAATTGTTTTGCTGTTTCTACATATCAAAATCTTACGGTCATTACTATTTTTCATTTTGTTTTCTAAGTCCTCTTTTGTAGCTTTAACAATCTGTTGCACTACATCCATAACTATTTGTTGAACTTTAATATTATCATTAGTTAACAGTAACCTAAAATAAAATGAAATATTAATTACTAGATTATCAAATAAAATTTTCATGAAAATTTTTTGTTTTTATAGGTTTTCTCATTACTTATGCATAATATTCATAGTTTCAATTCCCAATATTTGGTTTTTCATTAAAATTTGACGTGCAACCATAGAGTCTAAAATTGTGTACAATGATTTTAAACAAATTTTAAGGTTGTCAATATTTTCTAATGTGCGCTGATTACATATGGCTTCTGTACATACACCTAGAATTACAAATTTGTAAAATATTACATTAGTTTTAAAGTAAATGATAACATTTTTGAATGATTTCTTTAAAGTTTGAAATACTGTATATTTTTAAAATAAACTGTGAGGAAATTTCAATAATTACTTTCAAATTACATTTTATTTTAATTGTTATTTAACTAAATTAAAAACTTGTACTTGGCTTTAGGTTTTACAGCAATATGATAACACTTTTTATATTATTATATAATTGTATGCTGCGTATATTTCCTATGTTGTATTATTATATAGTTGGCTTTAAAATAAGAATTTTTAAAATTAAAGTTTATGTTAAATAGAACTTAATATATATTTATTATTTAAAGGTTACATTAATTGCTGTTACAAAATAAACATACAAAAAATATTTAAACATAAATTTTTTGTTTTTTACAGTCATAATTAAATAGCCAATGAAGAAAATATTTTAAAGACTTATTTAAATTAATAAAATAAATCTAATTCTTTAATCAGTAGAAAAAAGTGGCCATTAGTATATTTATAAATTAAGATATTTAAATTTGTATTAACTATTAATCATATTGTTTTTACGTAAAAATAATTTTTATATATTTATACATAGGTTTTCAATAACTATTGATGATAAGTGATGGTTAGAAAGTAGTTTTTCTTCGATTCAAAGCTAAGAAGATATTAATTTTACTATGATGTTTTTTATTTCAGCTCTCACCAAACTGATTTCTTTTAACAATACGTCAAAAGATCACAAATCGTATCTAGTCGAAGACATTACCCTCAAAAATTGAAAATTTTTCCCTCGTTCCCCGTAAATGGGGGAAATCTCCAAAAAAATTACAAATTTAAAAATCGTTAATTTTTGACATTTTATCAATTGTTTTTACTTAAAACTGCCTTAATTTTTTTAAAAATGAACAAATCAATATAATTTTATTTTTATAGATACATGAGATATTTATCTATCATTTTGTATACTTTCACACAAATTTTATAAATTTGACCCTTTACTTGTCCACAGAGGGGATTCAAAATGACAACTTTTTCATAAAAAATTAATTTTTGAAAGTGTTACAGAAATATTGACACTTTTATAAATATCTTAAATTAAAGCTAATGTAATATACTGAATTATGTAAAAAAAATTTTGTACTTTATTTTCACGGTAAAAATGGTTACCATATGCTATTTTTGTGTTAAAATTCTCAATTTTATATTTTACATTTTTAAATGTTATATCTATAACTTTTTGAAAAATGTATGGATCAATACAATTTTTTTATGAGAAATACTATTTATATACTTCTGTCATTCGACATACTTTTTTTTAAAATCATATCATTTCCCTATATAGAAGGGGGTTCAAAACTTAAAAATGTATATAGAAAGTAGAACTTTTTCAAACTTATTTTTAATGAAAATATATTTATTGCTTATTCATACATAACCTAATAATCAAACATAAATATTTGTTATTAGAAGGATTTTGTAATTATTTTGGCCATATGCAAAATTTTAATTGTACAATTGAAATTGGTACAAAAATGGGTTTAGATAAGTATATTTTGGTCTCTCATGAAAATTCCTTGTAGACCAGTAATTTATTTATAAACAATAAACAACTTATTATTTTAAGTATTGCATGAAGACTTTCAACTTTTATATACGCTTGTCAATGAAGTAATAACTACTTTATAATTTTTTAATTAATAATTTTTCTCCTTAAAAATTACAATACTAAATTATTAAATACATTATTTTATTGCTATAATCATTATTTATACATACATAACACTTATAAATCATAAAACTTGTAATCAGTATATAAATAAAGAAATTGGAGATCATGTTGCTTTTAAAATAATCCAACAATTTATTAAATTTAAACACTATCTACAGATTTGCATCGAAGCATTTTTGATGATAGTATTTTTGATCACTGTCAAATTAAGTCTATACTGGACCCAACTATGGCCACGTTTCCATTGACTGGCTTTTTTATAATATATAATTAAAAATTATATATTATATGTTAAATGTGTAATTAAAAAAAAATTTTTTTTTTAATAAATACCAAATATGAGATGAAACTTGTCTTGTAATTCTTTATCGAGGTTTTCATTCCTTTCTTTGAAATCATTAGAATTCATCCATAGAGATAACGCATACAAAATTGGAGGCCAAGAGTTTTTGTAGTAATTACGACTACTATCAATAGTACTTGAAGTATAAAAAGCTCCACCTTCATGAGGAAGTTGACTGCTAAATTCTAAATAGAAATTTATTTTAGTTAAACTCATTTTTTTCATACAAAATTAATACAATTATAATGTTAGTTAATTGAATAGATTATAAATTTTTTGTTAAAAAAAATAGAATATTTGCTTTTATAGATTATCATGAAAATTTTTATCTAGATTATTATGTATTTATTTTATTTAATTTAATAATTATGTTATGTATAGACATATGTTTAAATTGCAATATGATAAAACTGTAATAAAGTAAAAAACAATTATTTTACATAATTGTAAATAATAACAAATAATTTATTTTGTGTTTGAGAATTACTTATGTAATTTAAATATCTAGATTTGTATTAATAATTTTTTTTTTAACTTTGAAAATTTTAACTTAAATTATTAGATATTAATTTTAATATATTTAAGTTAGTCAATACTAGATAAAGAAATATTTAATTTAATGACTATATAAGTGATTTATAAAATTTAAACCTCGTATAAAATTTAATTAACTTATTTTGTAAAATCTATCTCTTCTAAAATCATCTAAACATTATTGTTTAATGAATTTGTTTTAGATATAAATTCAACTTTGCATTACTTTTGTTTTCAATACATTTTAACATAATCTATGTATATGTAAGATATGTTAGAATACTATTTTATATTATACTATTATGTTAGTTAAATAGTAATCATCTATTTTAACTTAAGTATTTCACCAATCCATAAAAATAAAACTCATTCAGCAATTACTTTCAAAAGTATATGATATTAAAAAATTCTAATTAAATGAAAAATTATGATGAAATTATTTGAAAAATTAGCATTCTAAAATTTTAACATTTTCAATAAAAATCTATATATATATATATATATATATATATATATAAATAAATCCAATTATAAACAATATTATTAAGTAAATGATTTGAAATTATAACTTAAATTTTAAATTTAAAGAAATTATTTCCATTTATTTTTCAATATTTATTGACAAGAATCTGATTACCACTAGGTAATAATAGAAGAGCATGATCTTTAAGAGCAGCATGCCAATGTTTTGACAATAAGCTTAGTTCTGGATTTATTAAATTTAATAAACTATCATTTTGACTCTCAAATTTGGAAAAATCATCACATATTTCAATGGCTTTGGAAAACTCTATTGCACTAAAATTTCCTGGAGCCATACCACTATTAATCATAGCAATTATGTAAATCTAAAATAAAACATATAAAAAGCTTTTATAATTATTAAAAACTCTAGGCTTATAAACAAATATTTATATACTTGGGACCATGATTTAAGAATTGCTAAGCACTCAAATGTTACAATACTTTCATTATATTGATTATTCAAATTCATATGTACTCCTGGTTTTAGTTTTGTTAATGATGTAACTAACAAATGGTATACTCTCTTTAAATCATTAATATTACGAGCAACTCCACTGCCAATCCATGTTCCACAAACTTGACATGCAGCAGCTGTAACATGACTTGATGTATCTTCTGAAAAAGCAGGGCGTAAAGCTGCACTAACCTAAAGTAATAAATATAACAAAAAAATTTAAATGAATATTTTTAGTGACAAATATTTGTTTAAATTACTTGTGCCTGAAATTGTTCTAATAATAAATGTCCAGGAAATTCTGGTTCTGCAACTTTCCCAAATTTTTCTATAATTTCATTGAGGGTTTGAAACCCTTCTAAACGTAGTTGATCACTATCACTTGTAGCTGCCATGAATGCCATTCTTATCAAATCTGACAAATGAAGAATTAAATAATCACCTATAAAAATTAATAACTATTAAAATAATAATATGATACTTGTTTTAACAAAAGTGTAACACATGAATTAGAGTGAAAAATAATTAATACTTTTGTAAAATTTAAGGTTATCTATGACATAAGTTATAAGTGACCATCTTATAAAAGATTTTATTTCTATTCACCTAATTTATGCCTATTAACAAAAGAAATTATAAAGAGTAAATACTAATTCATTACTTATTCCAATTATCCAAGAGGCCATATTTTGATCTCAGAACTTTATGCATTTATAAAAATTGTTTGAATCACTTATTAGACGGTCACTTTCATAAAATGTATTATAAAAAGAGTTCAGTAAACAAGAAAAAAGTCAATTTTTATAAACAATAAGGATAATAGAAATTTGCTTTCTTACTTACTAAACATCTTATATATATATATATATATTCATATTTTTACAGTTTTACCCATATATAAAATATTGTAATTCTAAGGTTTTTAGAGACTATAGTACAAAAATATCTATTAAAGAACCTAAATTTAGTGAAATCCTTGGTCGCTATGGGTTTAATTTAAAAATAGTAAAATTTGCTTTAAAATTGTAAAAATGATATATATTTTTTAATATATATATTGGATTATAATTTACTAATAGATTAAATTATCAATGAGTACCTTGAAAATAATTTAAAATATAAAAATAAATATAATAAAACATTTCATGTTATTTGAGTTAAGTAAGAGATACAAGGTAGACATAGAAGACAGAGTTGAAGGAAAATCCTATATAGCTTAGAAGAACAGAATTACTTATATCATAAGGCATAATGTATTGCCAATCAAACTTACATAACACTTTGTTTACCATTGAATTTCTACAATATTTAGAATATGCTTTAATTTTTTATAAATCTTTATTATTTATAAAAAATGAATGACTTATTTTAATTTTTTTATAGTTTTTATTAAAATAGTAATCACCTAACAATTATAAATAAATAGTAAAAAGTATAACAATAATAATACTATGTTATAATATTATTCTGGGATTGAATTATAGAGGTAAGTGATCTAATAGGCTAGAGGTGTGGAAATCAGCTCTTGAAAAAAAGGGTTTAAGAATAAGTAGAAGTAAAACAGAGTATATAGAGTACGAGTTTGACAAAGGAGAACACAAGGTAAGTGAAATAAGGAGGTCAGTGACAATAGGCGAGGACGTGATTGGAGAGGTGGAAAGTTTTAAATATTTAGGGTCAGTTGTGCAAAAGAGTGGTGGTATTACGAGGATGTAAGACACAGAAATAAGTGTGGGTGGTTGAAGTGGAGAGAAGCATCTGGCGTCTTATGCGATAAAAGAATTCAAATGAGGCTGAAAGGTAAATTCTACAAGACTGTAATAAGGCCAGCTGTGATGTATGATTCAGAGTGTTGGGCGGTTGATAAGAAAGTAGAGCAGAAAATGAGTGTAGCAGAGATCAGAATGCTTAGATGGATAAGTGGACAGACTAGAAAAGGTAGGATAAGGAATGAGCATATTAGAGGGAGTATAGGTGTAGCATCAAACGTGGATAAGATGAGAGAAAATAGACTTAGATGGTTTAGGCATGTTATGAGGAGAGAAGAATCGGAAGCTGTAAGAAATGAATATTGAAGAAAGAAGAGGTAGAGGAAGACCAAAAATGAGATAGAGAGATGCTATTGAATGTGATTTGAGGACAGCTGATGTGAGTTTAGGATAAGGGTTGCCGACCCCAAGTAGTTGTGATTAAGGCGAGGAAGAAGAAGAAGGTAAGTGATCTAACAATAATAATGTAAAAAGAAAGATGAATGCAAAATTGATTAGAAGTAATGACAAATAGACAAGATAGCAAATTCATTAATTGAAGTAGAAGATATAAAAATGAGAGTATTAATGATAGCAAGGTATTCCATGGTAATAGAAGAAGATAGGTTGAGTACATTTGAGTATGAAATAAATGATCAACTAATTTATGAAATATTTATGTTGAAATATTTATTTTTACTAACCTTTATTGTTAGTGATCAATAATTCTTTGGCTAATGACAGATTAAAATGTGGTGCAGAATTTTGGTCTCTATAACATGTAGATATAATACGGCACATACACTGAATTGCAAATACTTTAGTAGACCAGCAAGGTTGTTGTTTTCTTTTGGCAGAAGCTTCATCTTTGCTATTCATTTGAAATTCGTCATGATCATCTCCTGTTTCGTCATCATCATTTAGTATATTTCCTTCAAACTTCTCTGTTTCTTTAATATTTAAATCTAAAAAAATTAATGTAAATATTATAAAATATATCATTTTAAGTAGTATAATAATTATTTTTAACTCTTACATCTTTTTATGATACAAAATATATAAGTTATCAAAGTTCTTAATATTTATTTATTTTTTATTTATTAAATTTCAAACGGGCCAAGCCCAAATATAACGTTAGTAATACAATCGTTCATAAATAATATGATAATTTATAAAAATTAATAAAATAATATACAATAAAATATTACTTATAGCTAAGTGTTACAATAAATAGAGCTACAATAAATTTTAAATAAGTTAAAGTTATGTGATATGAACAGATCTATTTTTAAATCATTTATAGTTTTCATTATTTTGTTTAGAGTATTACTTGCATAATTAATAACTTCTGTGTTTAAATAAAATGTATTTTTAGACCGGGTATTATGAGTAGGGGTGTGAAAAGAGAAAAAACTTAAAAAAATAGGATAGTCAAAACTGCCTGTGAATAGCTTATACACAAAGTATACATCTAAATGCAAACAATGTTTTTCAAGAGTTTTGAGTGATAGGAACGTTAAAAGTATGAGGTAAGAAGAATGAAGTTCTCTGGGTATGGAACACATAAATAAAAGGAAACGTAAAAACTTTTGTTGGATTTTCTCAATTTTATATTTATGAACAGATGTGTAAGGAGACCATATTACCGAACCATATTCACAGACGGAACGTACAAGACAGCAATAAATGGACCTTAAAGCTAATGTATCATTAAAGTCAGAACAATTTCGACGTAAAAAACCTAAGCTTTGATTTGATCTGTTTACAATGTGGTTTATATGACAGTTGAATTTTAGTTTGGGTTCAAAAAATATACCAAGGTCTTTGACAGGCTCCATAGAGCGATTTAGCAGTACATCATTTATATTATACTCAAATGACGAAATAACTCTAGCTCTCTAGAAAGTCATTATCTGACATTTACTAATATTTAGAGTAAATTTATTATTTCTGCACCATTCATTCAAGTGTTTAAATCAGATTGTAATATATCTGCTTCAACTTGATTGTTAACACAGTTCTCAATAATTTGAGATCATCAGCAAACTTTAATTTAGCGCAGTTTTTAAACTGAATGTCATTAATGAATATAAAAAATAACATTGGTGCTAAATGGGAACCTTGAGGAACTCCTGATGTGACACGTATTAGTATAGACTAAATGTCTTTATAAGCTACAATTTGATATCGATCCTCAATAAAAGATAAAATCCAAGATAAAAGAGAACCACTTATACCAATCTGGCTTAATTTTGTAAATAATATTTTATGATTAATTTTATCAAAAGCCTTGGTGAAGTCAGTATATATGACATCCACGTTTGAACCCTGAGAGAGGGCATTATTGTATTATATTGTATTTATTTTTGATTAATTAAGTGATTAATAATGAAATAATCATCTTGTATATCTAGTTCATAAATATTTTACCTGAGGAAACAGCCAACACAGATTTACATAAGTTTATCCATTTTGTAAGATTATCTACTGCTAAAATTTGAAGCATACTAATCAAAGTATCGTGAATATCTTCTATAAGTTGACTATCCATTTCTGTATCAAGCATGTTAAATAATACACCAGGAAGACCAGATTCAGTAATGAAGAAACCTGAAAATTTTTTTTAATTAAATTTTTCTAGCGCCACTAAATTTCACTAATGTGTGATATGTTTGCTACTAAACATTTTTTTTTTAACATCTAGATACTAAAATATAAATTTAGCACACCTTCAGTATTATCATTATCATGTGAATTCAGAAATGAATCAGCTATTTCACAGACTTCTCTCGCTTCTCGTTGAGATAACTGACGTAAACATGAGACAGCTGCTTTTCTTAAAAGTAAATGACTATTTGAAAGATTTTGCTGTAAAAAAATATTTAAATATTGTACCTGTAATTATAATTTTGATATTCAAAGAAAAAATGCTGAATGTAATAAGTGCCTATGCACCACAAGTGGAATGTGATGAAATAGACAAAGAAGTGTTTTGGACAGAGATGGGTGAGGTAATGCAAGGGGTACCTGGCAATGAGGATGCAGTGATAAGTGGAGATATGAATGGACATGTAGGTAATAAGAGGAGAGGATATGAAAGAGTACATGGAGGGTATGGTTTTAGTGGGAAGAATGAGGCTGGAGAAAGAATTCTGGACTTTGCAGTATGGTATGATCTTGCTGTGGTTAATACTTATTTTAGAAAAAGAGAAAAACATTATAAAACTTATAAGAGTGGGAGTAATAGATCACAGATCGATTATTTTATGTGGAAGAGAGAGAGCGTAAAGCGAGTAAAAGATTGTAAAGTTATACTAGGCGAGAGTGTAATTATACAACATAGACAGATGGCAATGGAGTTGTGGTGTACCGGAAAGAGAATAAACAAAAATAGAAGAAACACGGGGAAAAATCGAAGTGGTGGTGGAAATTTATAGGGAAAAATGAAAGAGTTTGTAAAGATAGTAAAAGAGAAGACGGTGTGGAATGTCAAAGGAGACATAAATTATGTGTGGAATAGATTTGCTAGTTGTGTAAAGAATACTGCAAAGGTGAGAGTAGGAGTAAAATGCCAGGATACAAGGAAACCTGAAGGTGGGATAAGGACATTCAAAAAATCATAGAAAGTAAGAAACAGCAATTCAAAGTATGGCAGAAGAGCAAAAGGGGAGAAGATTGGATGGAGTATAAACGCTTGTGTAAAGAAGCTAAGTATGCAGTAAGTAAGGCAAAGTTTAAGAGGTATGATGAGTTGTATGATAGGCTAGGAACAAAGGAAGGTGAGAAAGAAATCTATAGACTAGCAAAGGTAAGAGAGAAAAGGTCTAAAGATTATCATTATATAAAGTGTATAAAAAGTGTTGATAATAAGGTACTCTCGAGTGATGATGATGTGAAACGAAAAGTGGAAAGAGTATTTTGAAAAATTACTGAATGAGAAGTACCCAAAAGAGACATTAGAGGATATCTCGTGGAATGAGGGACTGGTAGATTTAATTAGTGAGATAGAGGTATGGGAGGCTGTGGCATCAATGAAAAAAAATAAAGCAGTAGAACCAGATGAAGTGCCAGTAGAAGTATGGAAAATATTAGGTGGTGTTGGCATGAGGTAGTTGAAGGAACTTTTAAATAAAATCTTATTAGAAGGGAAAATTCCAAATGAATGGAGGAATAGTATTGTGGTGCCAATATTTAAAGGTAAAGGTGACATACAGGAGTGTGGAAATTATAGAGGCATAAAGCTTATGAGTCATAGTATGAAAATTTGGGAAAAGGTAATAGATAAGAGAATAAGAAATGAGACATCGGTATCTAAAAATTAATTTGGATTTATGCCTGGTAAGTCAACAATGGAGCCAGTATTTTGTGTGAGGCAACTAATAGAAATGGAGATTTTCTAAAAATAAATTTTCATTAGAAAGGTTTATAAAAGACTAGGAAAAATAAAATTAAAAAAAAAATACTGTTTGATTCAAAATATTCTATAAAAATGTGTAGTTAATTTTTTTTTTAAACCCTTAAGGGATGAAAATTATTTTTATTTAACAGTTTTAATTAATAATACAGTTTGGATGGTTTGGGCATGTTATGTTATGTAATTATTACTAACAAATTATATTTAAAAAAAAAGATACTAACACATAAAGTCCATACTAATGCAGTAAGATTAACATGCTTTGGTGTAAATAAATGCAGTTCTTGTAGACATACTGTTGACTCAGCTTGAACTAAAGGATCCTCATGATCTTGCATAATAGCACAGGCACATAAAAACGATGACCTTGCAGTTGTGATTGATGCAGAATTGCCTATACAAAATGTATCATTATATATCCACTTTTAGACTCATAACATCTACTAAGGCTCTTTATTTTCATTAGCAAAATGAATAATAGGCCAACAAAGTTGAGGCATAAATTGCTTATAAAAATGTTGTTTTTTTTATGTTAAATTGGTAATTTGATTTTACACTAATCGTTAAAAATGGTCATTCAAAAATATATTTTTGTTAATAGCATTTTCATTTTAAAATAAATGATAAGTATTTAAGTCATAATAATATAGACTTTTGTCTGTATTATTATTATTCATTAATGAAATTTGATAATTTTAAAAATATTTGTATATAAATATTTGATTTTTAAGAATTTTATGTAATAAATTTTTTTCCCATTTATAGTGTTTAATATAATCGCTCTATTATTCATGCTTGATATAATCATGAGTAATTTAAAAAAAAAAAAACAATAGTTAAGTATTTTTAAACTTTGTAACTTTTTATATTTATATAGTATACATTAGCAACTTAAACTTATAAAATAGAAGTTATAGTGAAAATGTCCGCTTTATTATTGTTATTTTTTACTTACTGTAAAACTTTAAGCTAAGTTTTACAACAAAAAGTAGAATTTGTTAAAATAATATCAATTTTGCTAAAATTATAATAAAAATAAACCTTGTAATTCTGGTCCAATAGTTGTAATTAAAGCAGAAATCAGCTTGCCAATACATTGATGAACATCTGCATGGTGATGGGGAACTATCAATAAAAGTTTCAAAGCCAATGATAAAGAAGGCTCAACATATCCTCTAAACATTGGCCCACCAGAATTTGCTATAAGTGATAAGGCATGTAAAGACCAAACCTAGAAATTAAAAATCAAATTATTTAACACCTATAAAATGAAAGGGGAATTTAAATTAAATTAAATGTGTACTTGAACTATAGGTGATGTGGTATCTTGAGCTAACGCAAGTAAGATGCTAACACTGGTATTTAAATGATGTGAAGATCCCATACCTCCAACATGTTTATGAAGAAAACCTAAAGCTAATGAATGACCAGTACGACTCGGAACATCTCTAGCACATCTAAGACGATCAAAACTAGTTTGAGCAAGCATAGCAGTAAATCGAGAATCTGAAACAGCTTGAGCCATACGCCCCACACATTCAGCAGCTGCAACTCGAAGAATAGTGTTGCTATTAGTCAATGTACTCTAAAAATATATTAATATTTATGAATTAAAACGTAAATTCATTAAAATACAAGGTATAAATTTACCATTATTAATGAAGATGTTGTAGTTTTAATTTCTTCATGTGCTATAGTTGCTTTTGTATCCGAAAGAACTTTGAAACCAGACAATAATGAGGCAAATATATTGATAGAAATAACATCACAACGACATGACTTTGAATATTTTATTTGATCAGCAAAATGATCAATCATTTGAATTCTATGCTTATTAGCAACTCGGGGAAAAATTAAACCAAACAATGTAATAGAAGCATCAATAACTGATACACCTAAAGGCAAAGGACTGGGAACTATATTATCCTACAAAAGTTAAGATAACAATAACAACTTAAAATTACGTCATATTGGCTACAAAATAATATATACTTTAGACACTGAAAGATATAAGCATCTGGGATCATGTTCTAAGGCTCCAGATCCTATTGCATTATTCTGAATTAGCTAAAACAAAAAAATTTAATCCAGATTAAATAAATCAAAGTAAATTAGTTTAAATATACAAGATATTTTCTTAATAAGCTCACTTATAAATATTTAAGCTAATACTATAGAAAAGTTTTTTAAGAAAATAGACTTTATACATTATAGAATTTTAGTAGATCACAAAATAAAATCAAACAATATTTTTATGATTATTTTTAATTAAAACTTACATAATCATTGTCAATTTTTTTTGAACAATCCACCTTTTCCAATGAAGCGTATAAGAAAAATATTTACAAATATAATAAAATAATATAAGTAATTATTTATATTTATAGGTACATTATTAAAAAGAGAAAAATATGACAGTTCATTGAAAACTGAAATCAAATATCTTATTTTGTAAACAAGAGCTCTTTTACTAAAATGCATCAAAACAATTTTTATTTTTTTCTTTGTAGTAATTAAGTGATTTATAATTATTTTTTATACCTTTTAACTCTTTTCACAAAAAATAGTATTAGTGTAATAACTAGATATATGTAGAATGATTAGTAAATAAGGAAACAGGTTTCTATTGATCTCATTGTTAGTAACAATTGACTTGTTTCCTTACTTACTGAACATTCTGTATACTTGACTTATACATTATAAGCATAATTTGACCGATTTTGTACAGAAAGACCCAAGTTTATAATAAACATCTTTAATCTTGGGGCATAGTATGGCGGAGTGGACTACTTAGCTGCCGCCTTAGCACTAATGACCAATTGCACTATTCCTGTTAGTTCCTGGATAGGTGATCATTGGTAACCATAGTGTTGAAACCAGGTAAATTTCATAGAGGGCTCCACCTTTCCTGATATTTTGTTAGTCCACCACTATCTCAGAGTGACAATAATAAGATGGCTATTTTCGAAAACTAACAAGATGTATCATTTAATTACGAGTTACATCTGGGTTGTTATAATCTTTTTATTTTAAAAGTCTCTGGCTTTCCAGACATTTTTTAGGAAAGAGGCAACTTGAAAACAAAGGTCCCTTTAATAAAACCCATACCTAAAAATTCAATGAGTACTACAGATAGTTAATAATGGTAAAAAAAAATTATATAATATGCTCATACCTATTAAATCTTTTAAAANTGGTAAAAAAAAATTATATAATATGCTCATACCTATTAAATCTTTTAAAAAAATATGAAACAAATGGAAAAAAAAAAAGCATTACCACAAAAATGATAGGAACAAAAATGTTCCTAAAAGTCTAACACCTTATTAAAAAAAAAAATTCATTTAGGAATTTAGGAAGTTAAAAATCGTAACTAATTTTTATTTTAAATTAATTTTTTACAATATTTGTAAAAATGCATGAATTCTAGAAGGTCTATAAAACTAAATGAAATAAAAAGTTATAAAAAAAAATTTATGTTAAAAAAAAAATCCTCAAACTTTATATTAATAAAAAAAATAGCTTTAATAAGTTTTAAAATAATGACATATTTTCTTTGTAAAAATAGTTGATTTTGTATAATTTTTTTCTTTCTCAACATCTACATATATTTGCATGTAATTATATTATAATATGTTTAGTTGATTTGAATTTCACATAGCTTGGTAAGATAAGTAAAAATTTGTATGTTTAAATTAAATGGTTTTATAATAATGATGTTAATTACTGTTGGATAAAGGCATACATTTTGCTAGGTCCTTTATATTCTTGATCCCAATTGTTCCGTGGATTATATATTTATAAATATTTATCTAATAAAATGAGCAGAATAAAGAACAAAAATAATTTTGGTGTTTAGTCATTTTTCTTATATTTAGTAAATTAATTAATTTATACCAAATATTTTTAATGTAAAAAATGCAGTAAATGTTGAAAAAATGATAACAGAAACTTGTAATCATTTGAATATTGAATTGAATATTTGATTTGAATAAGTTTAATTATTGTTTAAAATTTTAAAAAAGACTTCATATTATTTTTGGTTTCTATAACCATTAATATTATAAATTCTTAAAAAAACAATTTGGTATAGCTCAACTAATATTTACTATGGCAAATTTTTGAAAAGCCAAAATCACTTTGATTCCTAGATTAAAAATTGTGTAAGCTTACTTAATATTTATTTTACTATTTAAAAAAAATCATAGATATTGCAGTTTAAGAATTATAAAACATTTTAAAACAAAAATAATTAATAATTTTAGCTTCGATGCGAAGCGGAGAAGGTATTAATTTTACTATGATGTGTTTTTTTTTTTTTTTTTTTTT